CATGCTCCAATTTGGTAAGTGGTATTAAAGCAATAAATGCAAACCAACCAAATGTCTACATGCAGCTCCTCCAATCATATGCGTCCCTTATTCGACCGGCAGGTAAACCTTCTGTCCCTGTCAAACACCAAACAGAACACCATATCCAGACAACCCCAGGACCACCAGTCTTTAGCAAACCCCGTCGTCTAGCCCCGGACAAGTTAAAGTTAGCCAAAAAAGAATTTGAGGTTATGGTCCAGTTAGGTATAGCTAGACCTTCTTCTAGCAGCTGGTCATCTCCTCTTCATATGGTTCCCAAAAAAGGAGACGAATGGAGACCATGTGGAGACTACAGAGCCCTAAATGCCAGAACCATTCCTGATCGCTACCCTATTCCTCACATTCAGGACTTTTCTCTAAATTTGCATGGTAAAAAAGTTTTCTCTACTATAGATCTTGTTCGTGCTTACCATCAGATCCCTGTAGCTCCTGATGACGTTCATAAGACTGCTATAACAACACCTTTTGGTCTTTTCGAATTTCCTTTCATGTCTTTTGGACTTTGCAATGCTGCCCAAACCTTTCAACGTTTCATTGATGGTGTACTCAGTGGCCTAGACTTCTGTTACGCTTACATTGATGACATTCTCGTAGCTTCAGAATCCGAAGAACAACACCTCATTCACTTACGACAATTGTTTGACCGCCTATCCTCTTTCGGAGTCTTTGTCAACCCAAGTAAGTGCAACCTAGGAGTTCCCATGGTTAGTTTTCTCGGATATCAAGTTTCCGGAGAAGGGATAAAACCCTTACCTGAAAAAGTGAAAGCTCTTGACTGTTACCCCAAACCAAAGACTGCAAAGGAATTAAGAAGATTCACTGGTATGCTAAACTTTTATCGTAGATTCCTACCCCATTCAGCGTCCCAGCAGAGCACACTAAATGACCTTCTGAAAGCCAATCTAAAAGGTAATATGCCTATTAATTGGACTACAGAAAGTGAACAAGCTTTTGAAACTTGTAAAAAAAGCCTCAGTGAAGCCGTTATGTTGTCTCACCCTGCACCGAATGCCTCACTTGCAATCTTCTGCGATTCATCAGACTATGCTGTAGGAAGTGTATTGCAACAAAAGGTAGGACAAAACTGGCAACCACTATCTTTCTTTTCCAAAAAGTTAAGTCTAACTCAACAGAAATACAGTACTTATGACAGAGAACTAACAGCAATTTATCTTGCCATTAAGTATTTCAAACATATGCTAGAAGGAAGACAATTCATAATTTTTACAGATCACAAGCCTCTGACCTTTGCTTTCCGTCAAAAACCTGATAAGTGTTCTCCAAGACAGTTCCGTCACTTGGAATATATTGGACAGTTCTCAACTGACATTCGCCACGTTTCTGGACAAGAAAACGCAGTTGCAGATACCTTCTCTAGGATAGAAGAAGCCACTGCCTCCTTAAACTTCCAGGCTTTGGCAGAGTCTCAAGCTCAGGATGAAGAACTACAACACTATTTAGAAACAGAATCCAACCTAAAGCTCAAGCAAGTGCTGCTACCAGGAACGGAAATCTCACTTTATTGTGATGTATCTACTTCAAACCCCCGTCCTTTTGTCACAAAACAATTTCGAAAAAATGCTTTTTACAGCTTGCACAACCTGTCTCATCCCGGGATAAAGGCATCCACAAAACTGGTTAGCCAACGTTTTGTTTGGCCTTCAATGAAATCAGACTGTCGTTCTATGGCTCGCTCCTGCCTCTCCTGCCAGAAGTCAAAGATAACACGTCACAGCTCAACCCCAGTTGGTACGTTTGTTCCACCATCTTCTAGATTCGAACACATCCATATTGATCTAGTTGGCCCATTACCTGTTTCGGAAGGTTACAGGTATTGTTTGACTTGTGTTGACAGATTTACACGTTGGCCTGAAGCAGTTCCACTTGAGAACATAGAAGCTGAAACTGTAGCTCGTGCATTATTCACCAACTGGATTTCAAGGTTTGGAACGCCACTGCGCATAACCACAGATCAAGGTCGACAATTTGAATCCTCTCTTTTCCAGCAGCTAACACAGTTAACTGGATCAACACGTCTGCGAACGACTGCCTATCACCCTGCTGCCAATGGACTCGTTGAACGCCTTCATCGACAACTCAAGGCAGCCATAAGGTGTCACACAACAGATCGTTGGACCGAAGTTTTGCCAGTGATACTAATGGGGATCAGAGCTGCGTGGCGCGAAGATATGCAAGCTTCCTCTGCAGAACTCGTTTACGGTCAACCTCTACGACTTCCTGGAGAGTTTATGACGCCCAGCCAAGATGGACATCAATTGGATCCACCAAACTTCGTAAAGAGCTTACGTCAGCACTTCAACAACCTGCGTCCAGTCAGTGGAACTAGACATGGTGCGAAGACGCCATTCGTTTTTAAGGACCTCGCTACATGCACACATGTCTTTGTGCGGACTGACATCCCCAAGGGAGCTCTCGAACCCCCATACTCTGGCCCTTACCCTATTATCAGCAGAACCACCAAGACTGCCGTTGTGGTGATTAAAGGCTGTAATGTCACGGTATCCATGGATCGACTCAAACCGGCATACTTTTGGTCCGAATACAAGAACGATGGATATGCACCAAATAGGACAGAAAGCAACAAATCCACACAAGCACAAAGCAAGACACAAAGCATGGATGATCCTAATTATACCAAGACAAGTTCAAGCGAATTAAAACCTGCGATTAAGACAAAATCTGGGAGACATGTACGCTTTCCTGTACGATTTCAAGTATCATGATTTACTTAAATTAAATCATTAGCAGGGGGTACTGTGGTGAGTGCTTCAATACTGTTGAAAACCAGCTGGACAATTATTTGTTTTTTTTATAAAAGTATAACTTTGGTTTTGTTTAAATGAGTTGCTATGGTTACCTAACAGTTCATTCCTGGTTTATATAATTCATACACTTATGTTTTTTGTCATGCTTATTAAATTCTATTTTCTATCAGTTTCTTGAATAATTTTATCATAAAAGTAACAAAAATAGTTAAAGAAGAACCTACTTCTTCAGCTAACAATATTTAAAGAGTCCTCTGTGTTCCCATAGTATCCTTTTGGATACAGGTTTATTTTTAATAATAGCTATGGTGTGTCGTCTGTGTTCCCATAATATCCATATGGATACTGTTTTTCTTTTGTATTTTCTTCGATATAAGTCTGTTTTTTTAAGTCTGCACAATGATAAATACAGGCCTACAAGTGTTGTAATGCTTGTTTCAGTCCGATATTAGAAATCATAAAATATAATAATGATGTGTTTTACAGATGAATGACGATGAAGAAATTGACGAGTGGCTTATGATGTCATCTTTGTACTCATTCTAAATTAATTTTTTTAAATTGATGAACAAGTAACTTATTTTTCTATTTGATACAACTTTTAAGAAACGTGTATCCATATGGATACTATGGGAGTGTCAAAGTAAAATTAAAATTATTAACGTATGAAAATTAGTGAACAATGGTACTTTAGGTTTCCATGGTATCCATATGGATACATATTTCTAACTTTTAATTCTATGAGGGAAATTTGAAAAAAAACACATTTTTAGCCTTAAAATAAAAAAAATAAAATGAAAATTCACAATAAAAATTTGTATTATTAAATTTCATAATTCCGGGAAGTAAAGGGTTAAGTTTTCCTGTCTTTCTAAATAATAATTATTAGGTACTTTGCAAATTATTTTTTTTTCACTTTCAATCAAATAAATTCATCTATCTATCATAGAAATTAAAAAATCATAAGTAGTCAGGACCAGTGCAGCAACCATGCGACCAGGGTATTTATGCCGATTATAACCAGAAGTAAAATGCCAGTAGTGACCATATGAAATTTTGTTTAACACATTTTATCATCATTTTACTATCCTTGCAAGGTAATAATTGCAAAAAAACATCTAAATCTTCTCTAACTTTAATAAAAATTATAAATACCCAGTTTTTGGGTATTTACCCGGGCCTGGGGTAAATACCCGGGTAAAAACCCAATTTATATTTACCTACCCACTGGGTATTTACCCGGCCCACATCACTAGGCCTCGCTCACCTTTATGAAAACAGCAGAACTTAATCCTTTGTCAAATGTCACCACGGTTCACCATGAGTCGTGGTTAGGCGATCACAAATGTGCATTTGTGTGTTTTGAACTTTGGTGACATTTGACAAAGGACTAAGTTCTCCTGTTTTCATGAAGGTGAGTGACACCTGAAATTATCTTTTTAAATAAACTTATACCTTGGCCTAAATATACCATGTCGTTTATAAATTAGATACTGTCGTTGAGTCATTACTTTGTGGACATAAGCCATCTTAGTTGGCTTATTTTATTTCATTTCATAGTTGTCAATGCAGCCCTTATCAAACGTATTATAAAATATTAAGAGAACGAAGCTGTTGTAATAAGTAGGTTTTTTAAACTGAAATAATATGAGTTTTGAACTAAAAGTAAGATGAGTGAGATCCAGAACGCAAATCGTACAGAACCAAATTTCAAAGCATAAGAACTTCAAATACTTCTGTTAACTTTGGTATGTATACTTTGGTCAAAGTTCCAGATTATTATGCAGAAGTTTATTATAGAGTAACTACAAACCTTTACTGCAACCTCTTATGTTACTGTAAAACATTATACAGTTAGCTATCGATGTATTTTTGACAGCAATTAGCTCATACTAAATTTTGGTTTCAACTTTAAGTTTGGCGAATGAAGCCCACAAGTTCTTTAAAAGTAAATAAGACGCATCCACAAAATAAACATCACCTATAAAACAATACCTGAAACTTGTTTTATACAATAGTTTGTAGGAGTGTACCATTGCCGTGGCAGCTGTTATTTTATATCAAGTAGGATGGGTCAACTGAAGCAAGTACATCCCATATGCCATTACTTGGCTAACACCTGATTCTTATCACTAAAAACAAGGCTGAGGTGTAAACAATTAATTAATCCTGTCATTTGAAAACTAAGTATAATTACCATTTCATATAACAATGTATCATTTCAATATTCACATTCACTGGCTATTATTTGAGCCATTTAACTTTACAATGAAGATTTTCTACTTAAAACTACTCAAACCGATTCAGCGATACAGGTGATCAGCGTGAATGTTTGAAGCGATTTCAGATTCCCATTTATCACCGTTGTTCAACAGCTTTTCCTTGTTGTACAAAAGCTCTTCGTGCGTCTCGGTGGAAAATTCGAAATTAGGTCCTTCAACAATAGCGTCTACAGGGCAAGCTTCCTGGCAAAATCCGCAGTAGATACATTTGGTCATGTCGATGTCGTAGCGCGTAGTTCGTCGGCTGCCATCAGCTCTTTCTTCCGCCTCGATGGTGATAGCCTGTGCCGGACAGATGGCTTCGCACAGTTTACAAGCGATGCAGCGTTCCTCGCCTGATGGATACCTCCTCAATGCGTGTTCTCCTCTGAAACGTGGACTGAGTGGCCCCTTTTCAAACGGATAGTTGATGGTCGCCGGTTCTTTGAACATATGTCCTAGTGTGACGGCAAACCCACGAGCCAGCTCGGTCCAGAACAATGTTTGTGCAGCTCTCTCTGTGATATCTTTCCATTCCATGCTCGGGTCCTGGTACCCGACATTTTTGAATGTAGTTCTGACCTGTAAATAACAAATACTATCAACAAACGGAGTTATCCTCGGTAAACCATTTCTAAAATCTCAAAACTGAAATTTACAAAAATCTAATCCCGAATCTCAAAACCTAAGAATGAAAAACTTACGTATTTTTGCCTTTTCAAGAACAAAAAAATACACTTAATAAAAAATGTTTTTTCTGCAATCAAAACTTAAAGAAGTGGGATTGTTTTAGTATTAACATGAATACCAATTACCGGTACCATGGCTAATACTAAAAACTAAAACCTAAAGAGTGTAATTTTTTTATAAACAAAGACTTGAAAGATATGACAAACCGATATCGATATCACCCTTCCCAGCACTAGGAAAATGTGCTCACAAAACTGAACATGCCATGGCGCATATGTGCACTAGCATTATTTGCACATGTTTTTGTTTGGTATTTCACTATACTGTAAATAACAGAATAACATGAATATGAGATCAAGACTTAAGTTAATTTTAAATTAATTACTTAGTTTTTAATCTAGAAACTCTTAAATCAAAATCTCACCAACAAAACCTTTCTTAAGTTTTGTTGGTGAGATTACAGGGTCTGTTTTGACACATCACACCACACAATATACCCCAGTTCTGATGAACCTTTTTTCCTACAGTAATAGAAAAGTGTTAGCCTATTTGTACTTAGTCAACAGCCGTTCTACTAAAATAACCATCTGATATGTTCAATAACCACAATGCGGGTTTAGTGTTTTCACCTGTCTTGTGAGGAAAGAAAAGCCTAAGTTACCTAAAATAACTGTGGATAGCCATACCATATGAGTGCTGTAGGTCTTGAACTTAGTGTGTGTACGCTGAAAACTGGGTTCATAAAATGTAAACTTTTGAAAGATTAAAAAAATTATTGTGAGAAAAATAGACATAGGTAAACAAGTTGGATCAATTAAGTGAGCAGAATTGCAGCTTAGGCAATTTTAACTTGTAGAAATTTAAAATTTTAACCCTTCGAGTGCCAACGTCCGGGGAACCGGACGTTTTTAAAACGAGCCAAAAGTGCCGACGTCCGGCCGACCGGACGTTTTTAGAACGAGCCGGACGTTTCGTAATGATCGAACAGTTGTCATAACAACCGAATGGATACTCGGATTCTTTTAACCCATATATTAACATTGAGTCGAAAGTTACTAGATGCGATACATCGGTTTTCGTTGGTCGAAATATCGAAAATTCGATTTTTACGAAATTTTAACCTAAAAATCGCCAGATCGCGCTCGGCATTTTTAGCGCGACCTTCGGGAAAAATCATCGGCATTTTTTGAGCGTTACTTTTATTTCTCGCCTGGCACTCTAAGGGTTAAGTTTAAGGGTTGATAGGTGGCCATGTTGATTTTTACTAAACAATTTATCCGTCGAATAGGCTAAGTTAACTAAAACAAGTGTAACTCATTACTTTTATATGATGTCTTCTTGAATTTTAAATAACTTATCTTCAGCTTGGCTAAGTTTACTCCCTAAGCCTAATCTTCAAGAGAAAAAACGTGGTCATCAAAGACAAGTTTTTAACCCTTTTTTTCTTATTCGCAATTTGCACTTGAACCCTCCCAATGACTATGTTGGTGAAAATTATTTCATCCATGTAAGTTAATTTGGGTACACTTCCATATCTGTTGGCACAAACAACCGAATGAAAATATCGATCGATATATCGATTATTCGATATATCGTTTGGTTAGTTAGGTAAGGTTAACCAAACGATGTTAACGTTTTGTTTCCATCTCTTTTAAGGTTAGGTTAACCTTAACTAACTAATCAAACAATATATTGAATTAAAAAATGTAATAATCAATATTACTCATTCGGCTGTTTGTGCCAACAGATATGGAAGTGTACCCGTTAATGTTTAGGCCTAGGTTAAAATTTAGGCAAACTTTTACATTCAACTCCACCGGTTAACCTAGGTAAGTAAGTTGACTGTCAATACAAATTTATCTCCATTGTCATTCTTAGTCCATAGGTTAATTTGACTATTAAATGCCTGAGTTTGTTTGGACAAAAATACATTATAGAGACTACGTTAGGCCAAAGTTAACCTAACCTGATTCACATTCCTGTAAGATAACTTTGAGTACAGTTTCTTAACTCGACTAACTTATATGCTAATAGGCTATATGTGATGTGGAAAGTGAATAGGGACCTCTTGTCGGGAATTTTCGATTTTGAGTTTTATATATATATTAAACTCCGAATCACTTGGTGCAAGTCCCATGCATCTACGATTTTTTTGTTAAATTCATAGGACTTTGAAATTTTGTTATGGAAAAGGGTCATTTTGAGAAAAACCATTTTGAAAATTTTAAATACGCATAAAAAGAGTTATTTTTATTCAAGAAATGATGTTGGTATCAAAAGAAAGCTTATAATCTCCTCTTTGGAGGCAAAACCAATTTTTGTCTTAACTCTCAGTAGTTTTCATTTAAATAATTGTTTTATTGAAGCACGTCGTAAAAATCTCATTTCAGAAAAGGGACCTCTTGTCGGCCATATGTCATTTCTCCATAAGATAAGAAAAGGTAGCCTACCTCTTTTTGGGACCGCAATATCTGTGAAATATTTTGTTCTCCGTAAACTAAACCTTGTTGTAGTTTTCTAAATTTCCTCTAGAATGCAGGACAATTAATTTTTTTGACTATATAGTCTATATAAATAAAATTAGAGTTTTGTCTGTACATTGCTTAGAATAATGAACTTTTTGGTTATTTTTACATTTCATAGGTCAGAGAAACCGAATCAAACCTTATCTCAATTTCTGTCTGTCTGTCTGTCTGTCTGTCTGTCTGTCTATCTGTCATTCTCTTGGTAACGCTAAAATACGCACTTTATTACAACTACTCCTCAATAACTATAGCACTGTCCCGCCTGAAACTTATTTTCCAAATACTATACATATATGAGATGGTTTTAGACGTATTTCATCGAATATGAGACAGTTAGATATTTAACAGTAAACCCTTGAAAAATCAAGTTTTTGTCGATTTTTGACGTGGAATTTCTGGAAGCCCATGTTAACCTTATGAGAAATGAAATTATTGAATCTTAACAGCTGTTTCAATTAAACAAGTTGGTTCTGTTCTGTGATGTTCAATAGCATTAAAGTTACAAGGATTACCAACAGGGTGCAGCACTAGCACTATTATTTCTTTTACATTTATGACAACAGCTAATTTGCAACCTGGAGGCGAGTGAGCGTAGCGAACGAGCTAACCTGAAGGCAAGTGAGCGTAGCGAACGAGCTAACCTGAAGGAAAGTGAGCGCAGCGAACGAGCTCCAACATACAGGTGAGTGAGCGTAGCGAACGAACTTCAACCAGGACGTGATTGAGCCATGCAAACGAGATCAGATAGTAAAAATTAAAGTAAGCCTACCGTTATAGGATCGACCGGCAGACACAGAGGTAATTTAACCTTTTATTGATTGTCATACCGATCCGGAACAACAAAAAACAACATAAAATGAAGCTATGTATAATAGTTTGGCCAGCATATCTTAAAATATGCAAACCAACTGCTGTTCTTTATATAAGAAGGTTTCAACTGAATATTATAAGATCCCCGTGCGTAGAACGGGTACACAGCTAGTCTGTTTATAAAGTTAATATTAGAAATGGGACCTCTTGTCGTTATGGCGAAATAACCTTCAGCGACAAGAGGTACCTTTTCTCAGACCGTACAGAGGTTAACAAAATGATTTTTTTTTTTACCTTTTACATCTTCTTCAATATTTTAACCGATACCTTTCTGTTCTATGATAAATGAGGTATAACAATCGATAAAAAACTGAATTTCAATATTTTCAACCTTAATTACTTAAATCGGCCGTACTGAAAATTTTGCATCATCACCGACAAGAGGTGCCTTTTCGCTTTCCACATCACATATATTGAAACTATCAAATTGGAAATATTGATTGATAATCAATATTTTTGAATATGTCTATTATAAAATTAAACTATCATAACCTAACCAACCAAACTTGCTGATGGTGAAAAAATCGCATGAAGGTTTACTAATCCAATCGATATTAGCATAGCCCAGTTAAGAAACTGTACCCATAACTTTTTTTTAAGTGCTTACTAATATTAACAGAAGAAGAGTGTTCTGGGGTACAGTTTCTTAACTGGGCTATGCTAATATCGATTGAAACTATCGAATTGAAAATATTGGTAATTATATCGACCTCCGGACCTCACGCGAAATTAAAAATTTCTTTTTTCAAAATGGTCGAAATTTCACGCTGATTTCAAAAATGATTGTCGTTTTTTTCGGAAACGTCCCGTTTTCCCGGAAAATGGGAAAAACGGGAAAAATATTTTTTGCTCAAAACCCATGTTGTGGGTACTCAAATTATGCGGAATTTTGTCCTGGACAAGAATATGTAAATTTTATTACGATCGGACCACTATTAAGTAAAATATCACCGAAAAACGGGAAAACGGGGAATTTTTTTTTTGCCCAAAACCCATGTTGTGGGTACTCAAATTGTGCGGAATTTCATCCTGAACAAGAATATGTAGTTTTTATTACGATCGCTTTTAAGTAAAACATCACCAGACAGGTTAACTAACCTAACATAACCTAACTTAGGTTTAAATTAGGTTAGGTTAGGATAGGTTAGTTTAGGAAGTAAGGTTAGGTTAAGTTAGGTTAGGTTAGGTTAGGTTAGGTTAGGTTAGGTTAGGTTAGGATAGGTTAGTTTAGGTTAGGTTAGGTTAGGATAGGTTAGTTTAGGTTAGGTTAGGTTAAGTTAGGTTAGGTTAAGTTAGGTTAGGTCAGGTTAAGTTAGGTTAGGTTAGGTTGGTTTAGGTTAGTTTACTTACAATACTTACCTATTCTAACCTAACCTAAACTAACCTATCCTAACCGATCGCTTTTAAGTAAAACATCACCGGACAGGTTAACTAACCTAACTTAGGTTTAGATTAGGTTAGGTTAGGTTAGGATAGGTTAGTTTAGGTTTGGTTAAGTTAAGTTAGATTAGGTTAAGTTAGGTTAGGTTAGGTTAGGTTAAGTTAGGTTAGGTTAGGTTAAGTTAGGTTAGGTTGGTTTAGGTTAGGTTGAGTTTTGATAGGTTAGGTTAGGTTAAGTTTGTTTAGGTTAGGTTAGGTTTAGTTGGGTTAGGTTAGTTTACTTACAATACTCATGTTATTGATTAACTAACCCAACCTAACCTAACTTACAAACTTAGGTTAGGTTAGGATAGGTTAGTTTAGGATAGGTTAGAATAGGTAAGTATTGTAAGTAAACTAACCTAAGCTAACCTAACCTAACTTAACCTAACTTAACCTGACCTAACCTAACTTAACCTAACCTAACTTAACCTAACCTTACTTAACCTAACCTAACCTAAACTAACCTATCCTAACCTAACCTAACCTAATTTAAACCTATGTTAGGTTAGTTAACCTGTCCGGTGATGCTTTACGTAAAAGCGATCGTAATAAAAACTACATATTCTTGTTCGGGATGAAATTCCGCACAATTTGAGTACCCACAACATGGGTTTTGAGCAAAAAAAAATTCCCCGTTTTCCCGTTTTTCGGTGATATTTTACTTAATAGTGGTCCGATCGTAATAAAATTTACATATTCTTGTCCAGGACAAAATTCCGCATAATTTGAGTACCCACAACATGGGTTTTGAGCAAAAAATATTTTTCCCGTTTTTCCCATTTTCCGGGAAAACGGGACGTTTCCGAAAAAAACGACAATCATTTTTGAAATCAGCGTGAAATTTCGACCATTTTGAAAAAAGAAATTTTTAATTTCGCGTGAGGTCCGGAGGTCGATATAATTACCAAAATATTGATTAATAATCGATTTTTTTAAATATAATTATTATCAAATTAAACTATCTTAAACTAGCCTAACCAACCAAACTTGCTGATGGTGAAAAAATCGCATGAAGGTTTACTAATCGAATCGATTGTTTCAATCGATATTAGCATAGCCCAGTAAAGAAACTGTAGCCTACCCATGGATTTATACAATTAGAAATACTGATAGCAGCGTTCAGTTTAAAATATTTTGTTAATAAGTTATGATGGAGCCAAGGCCCCACTAGGAGCCCAGATATCAAAGTTGCATTCTCTAGTCCACTTCTACAGTCTAAATAGGCCTAGTCCAACCCCATATTACATAACCATGGTTTATAATAGTATGAACCTCATTTTTAAGTCCTTATTCATCCACACTACATTTTTAAAGATAAAAAATTTGATTTCTTACCCCTTGTTAATTATTTTGCAGACTAGGCTAGTGAACAAAGTCGATAAAAACAACATTGGACATCACATTTGGTAAATTTAATGTAGTAAATTATAGGCTATGGATAAAATTGTATTTACTAATATACTATACCTGAATGAGGTTTGAACACACTGCTGGTTTTATATAAGCTTGGCCAGTTTTGCAAATATTAAATAACCTTAATGACGCCATGTTTGACTCTGCTCTGCTGGCTCTGCAGTCTGCAGTCCGCAGACGAAAAATCTGAGAATCTCTCGTTTCGTTTTGTTTAGCTGTCTCGCTGTCTGCTGAGAAGAACAGCAGATTAGCAGAAAGAAGAGGTAAATATTTTTCATAATCAGCTGTTTTGAACGGTTGATTATGGTTCTGACGCAAGCCACTGTAAATATTCTAGAAAAACTATAAAGAAGTAGGCTGTGATACATTGAGCATACCTCAAAACTTGAAATCAATAAATTAATCCAAAACTGATGAATGAAAAACTGAAACAATATTGAGGCAGATGGCCGATAGCCCCGGTCTTGAGTACTCTGATAATGAAACATATTCATAGATAAAACTTATGACATAGATAAAACCATTAAACATTCTCCCTCTGGGGCCCATTTCATAATAAAGTACAAACTAATATTATTAGTAAATCAGCTGATCGCCCAATGGAAATTACAAGCTACAAGTTGTAACTTGTAGTTTATTATAAAACGGGCCACAGGTGGCCGTGAGTATATTTTTCATGGATCAGTGGAAAACAATGTTATTGTTAGTTCTGTCCGGTGTTACGGCCGGTGAACTGTTAAGAGTCGTAATAAATAAACCCCTTGTTATATAACCAAACAGTAAAGCACAAAAATCATTAAATTAAACCCTAAAATAAAAGAGACCTGATTTCGTCAACACTAGCAACTGCCACCATCGAACTAGACACGTAAAACGAACGTCAAAATTTACAAAGGGATAAGAAATTGAGAAGCCTACTTGTTTTCGTTAGTCTATGGTTATGCCTTGAAGGAGCCCACATATAGCACAGAAAATCCTCAGGATATCCCACAGAGTTCCCAAAACGTCGCATTGTCGCAATTTTTATTACAGAATCCTCTAAAACTCCCAGAAAAAACAATTTTAACAACTTGATGCCTAAACAGAATCATAGTATCAAAAATATTTAAGTATTGCGACCATTTCAGCTGTCGGCTACCTCTAACCGCTTGAAAACTAGTAATATCAACAATCACAAGTAGCTCAGGAGGTAGTGCAAGAGTTTCATAAGTCAAAGGTACCCGGTTCAAAACTTGTCTGTGCAAAAATATTTTTGTTTCTATTTTTTTCCAAAATTTGTTTTTATGAGCTATAATTAAAATACTTAACTGGTAAAAGTGTTTTTCAGACTAAATATTTATTATTTTGTGTTTTTATTTATAATATCCTGGTGGGGTATCCCCAGGAACATCCTGGCGGGATATCCCAGGGATCAGGATTTGGGCGGACATAGGGATATCCCAGGGAGTTCCCCAGGATATCCCACAAAGCTATAATTCTAACGTCTGAGTTAGAATTATAGCTCAGTGGGATATCCTGAGGACATTGCGGGATATACAGAGGATATCATCCCCCATATCCCACTGGGATATCCCCAGGACATTCCAAGGATATTCTTGTGTTGTGTGGGAGCTGAGTTGATATAAAGCTCATCTTATGCGGATTGTATTGTAAATAAAGTAAAGTGACTTATAACTAAAATAAAAAATCTCCGGTTAGATCTTTAGGAGTCATACTGTAGTTGCGCATGATTAATAATTGGCCTTCTAATAAATTAACTGCCGTTTTTAAGAGTATAACCACAGCTCGTATTGGTCAGTAATAAGAGCACCATTGGAAAAGCAATTTATAAAAGTGTTAGATTAAACAATATACTTTTAAAAGGCTTATCATCTTTTAGGATAAGCTGCAGACAATTTTTATGTTAGCTGTGTCCAATCATTTACTATATAATATTTAATTCACGAAGGGTTGTTTTTGTCCACTCTTTCTTTATTCTTTTTATTTCGCTTACTCTATTTCAAAACTATAGTTGTTTTGACCAAATATAACGAGATCTTTATAAACAAGAGCTTGCCCTCTGGTTTCATGATGAGAGGGTTTTGACGCTCCAAAAGGCGGCAGTCAGAATCTTGGCAGGTGCTGATTTTCTAGACCACTGCAAACCTATCTTTATTTCTGAATCCGTTATGACAGTGTACAGCTTATATATTTACCAATCTCTTCTGTGTACTAAGCTGGAGTCAGGCTCTCTCGAACTCCGAAGTGATATCCACCCTCACAATACTAGGAGGAAGGACGACTTGAATGTACCCTATGTTAGATTAAGAAAGGTCCAATCTAGCTATTGTATACAGTAGAGATATAAGTTTTTTAACAAACTCCCTTGTACCGCTCGGAACCTGCCGGAAGCAAAATTCAAAATGGGGATTGAATCTCTTCTGTTGGCAAATCCGATTTACTCATTAAAAGAGTATTTTGAAATTTCACCTGGCCAAGTAAGTAAGTTTTTTTAGCCAATGAGTGCCAATGTGTGATGATAAATAAGTTTTGTTTTTGTTTTTCAATTCTCTGCATGGTGTGTTGCAGGCTTAGGCTAAGATTTTGATGTATTGACGTTTCCTTGTACATATTATGCTTTCAGGAAATAAATCATTCTCATTCTCTCATTCTCATTATCATTCTCATTCTCATTCTCATTCTCATTCTCATTCTCTCATGATCTTGAATCTATTAACTCTGGACCTTATGAGAAAAATTGAAGGCAGCCTACTCGGGAAAATAATAGAAACATATTAACCTAAACCATTGACTAAGGAAGGAAATGAAAGTTTTTTCCCTTGTCTGTGCCGTGCCTAAACCCAACCCAACAGTTTCTTGTTCTTACTTGTTCTCGTTCTTTTCCACTGAGCTAAAATTATAACTGGAGGTAGCACTGAATGTCAAAGATGCGTGTCGCCAGCCGCCATGTTTGCGTGAGTCTGGTGTCATAAGAAGCCATATTATTGCTATAACTATTATTATACTTGGCTTAAAATACCTACTTTGTATGGTCGCCATTTCAAAGAAAATTATTAAAGTATTAAAAGTATTCAAGTATGACAAAAATACTCACTGCTATACCAACCTAGTTATAAGAAGCCATGTTATTGCTATGGTAAGAAAACTTACTGCTATACCAACCTAACAAAATCAGCGACTCGCTTTTGACAGACTTCTGCCATGGCAGTGCTACCTCCAGTTAGAATTATAGCTCAGTGTTCTTTTCCTCCGAATCGCAATCGGATGTTTTTGTTTGTTTATGTTTATGGGAGGTTTGTTTTGGTTAAGTTATATCGACATCAACATATCGTAGAATAAAACACCGCTCACCAATTAATAAATAACAACACAGAATCGCCAGTAATCGGGAAAATAATTACACTAAGTTATTGCTTGGTAAGCCATTACAGTTAATACATTACAGTATAAGCCTACAGCACAGCATAATTTTACTTAAAAATTTGGCTATGCCTACTTTGATATTTAACTTATTTAATAACTTAGCCTGGTGTCTAGGCCTATTTAATAACTTAGGCTATGTGGCTATTGGTTCAGGTTATAACTTAACAAAAACCATCCAGACTTTTTAAAAATATTTGCTTTAACATCCCAACATGTTTAAGTTGAAGCATTGTAATGTTTGTTGCACAAAAGAACAGGTCTACAGACATTCGCCTAATGTTGGTACCCGATTCGGTAATTATTTGGACGTAGTGACTACTCTCAAAAGTGAAATTTTTCTTTTTCATAATGACCTTTTCACGCTGAATCCGAAAATGAGGTTTTTATTTTTCGGAAAATACCGGAAATTCCCGAAAAAAGGGAAAAACGGGAAAAATATTTTTTTACTCAAAATATGTCATGTGGGTACTCAAAATATGCGGAATATTGTGTAGATTAAGAATATGCAAGAATTGTTTTGATCCGATGAAAAACACCGGAGATATGACGAAAAAAAACTGAATAATCTGTTAGGTTAGGCTTGGTTAGGCTAGGTTAGGTCAGGTTAGGTTAGGTTATGTTTGGTTAGGTTAGGTTAGGTTTGGTTAGGTTTGGTTAGGTTAGGTTAGGTTAGGTTAGGTTTGGTTAGGTTAGGTTTGGTTAGGTTAGGTTAGTTTAGGTTAAGTTTCGTTACGTTAGTTTATCAATAACATGAGTATTGTAAGTAAACTAACCTAACCTAACCAAACCAAACTTAACCTAACCTAAACTAACCTAACCAAACCTATCCTAAACTAACCTAACCTAACCTAACCAAACCTAACCCCAACCTAACCAAACCCAACCAAACCTAACCTAACCCAACCAAACCTAACCTAACCTAATGATGAGGTAAGGATAGGTTTGGTTAGGTTAGTTTAGGTTAGGTTAAGTTTGGTTTGGTTAGGTTAGGTTAGTTTACTTACAATACTCATGTTATTGATAAACTAACGTAACGAAACTTAACCTAAACTAACCTAACCTAACCAAACCTAACCTAACCAAACCTAACCTAACCTAACCTAACCAAACCTAACCTAACCTAACCAAACATAACCTAACCTAACCTGACCTAACCTAGCCTAACCAAGCCTAACCTAACAGATTATTCAGTTTTTTTTCGTCATATCTCCGGTGTTTTTCATCGGATCAAAACAATTCTTGCATATTCTTAATCTACACAATATTCCGCATATTTTGAGTACCCACATGACGTATTTTGAGTAAAAAAAATATTTTTCCCGTTTTTCCCTTTTTTCGGGAATTTCCGGTATTTTCCGAAAAATAAAAACGACATTTTCGGATTCAGCGTAAAATTTAGGTCATCATGAAAAAAAAAAAATTTCACTTTTGCGAGTAGTCACTACGTCCAAATAATTACCCCCGATTCATATTAAGTTATCGACTGAATCAATTAGAAGGTTTGGGTTTTGGTACAGTTAGGGAAACTCCCTAGTCTGTGGTTTTGGTTTTTTTGGGTACACTTCCATATCTGTTGGCACAAACAACCGAATGAAAATATCGATCGATATATCGTTTGGTTAGTTAGGTAAGGTTAACCTAACCAAACGGTATATCGAATTAAACAATCGAATAATCAATATTACTCATTCGGTTGTTTGTGCCAACAGATATGGAAGTGTACCCGTTTGTTTTAGTTAGATTATTGATCAAATCAATACTTTGTTATAATTAGATTGATTATAATTGATATCTATTAGGCCTAACTTAATATTGGTTCTATTAATATTATGGGAAATAACTTTCTGGATCATTGTCGTTTAAATAATCATTGATGGAGTAGGCTAAAAAGTTAAACACTTTAGATAAAAGATATAGGCTAGGTGGTATGACTAAACTATTTTTAAATCTAAGTTAGATATTTCTTGAACTTCTTTGATCCTGGCAGGTAAGTTAATAAGATTATTGTGAAGTTTTAATTAAACTCATAAAAAGGTGATTTTTGTAATAGGCTTAACAGAGACCGTCTTGGGTATTGAAAGTAATTTTTAAACCGGCCGGGTTGGATAGTTATCTTCAAACTGGTTTATTCTGTAAGATAGCAAATTACGGTATTTAAAAATAACTAAAACTTAAAGTTTTGAATATATAAATATACTTACTGGGGCGACTGGGCATTGTTAAATATAGCATACCTATGTCCACACTTGTGCGCCAAGTGCATGCGTCAAGGCATGTCCGAATTGAATCAGATGGAGCTCCATCCAATAGCGCACAGCTTAGCCCATGACTATTAACCAGCCTTTTTACTTTTTAAAAAAGAGGTTGGTGGCCTCTTTTAACCTTGCATTTGCCCGTCCACATAGACTAACCGCCTGTGTGTGGAACGTTTACAGCAAAGCAAGGAGTGAGCCGGTACAGTACAAAGGTGAACGGTACTGATAAATTTTAGTGGCAGTGACCAGGATCCGAACCCACGACATCGCTGCCTTGAGCCCGAAGTCCGCAACGCTACCGACTGAGCCACCGACTCACTAAACTACCTTTCAACTGCATTACATTTTTGACTAGTCGTCTGTGTTGTAGTTGTTTGGAGCAACATGAATAACGAAGAAACCTTAGAATTCATAGAAGATTATCGCTCTCATGTGTGTTTGTGGGACATACTGAGTAGGCTACATTTTAGGCCTACACTAACAAAAACTTTGCGAAATGAAGACTACTTGGATTTAGCTAAAAAATAGGTACAATATGACTGAGAAGGGTGTACGGAATAAAATAAAAAGTCTGCGGTCTTTTTTTTCTAAAGAGCACCAATAGTTAACTTATTTGCTAATAAAAGGGGTGAGGGAACAGATAGCAAGTACGAGACACCTTGGTTTGCATATTCCTCGTTAACGTTCATTCTTGATTCTGACACCTCAAGAGACACAAAGGACTACTTGCACGGTATCTCCGACAACATTGAAGACACCTTGGATGAAGATGAGGTGAGAATAATAGGCCTATACAGGGTGATTTGTACTCAGTGTGACAAAATTTTTTTGATGTAAGTACAAAGTAAATGAAGTGTGATGATGCATATCAAATGTTCCAAGTCTCAAAATTAGCGTCCCAAAAAATTATTTTATGTTTTTCAAAAATAACCATGTTTTTAAACTTAATACAGCGATTTCTCGATTACCTGTATATGGATTTGAGTAGATAATGTCATTTTCGTGTTCTACATTAAATTTTGAATAAGAATAATGGAAAATGACGGAGGATCAGTTGTAAAAACTCTATTGTAAATAGATTCAAAGATAAAAATTAAGATATTTGATAAAAATTTTAAAAACAATGGTCTATTGCATTTTTCACACCCTGTATACAAGAAAGTGTCAGAATATGTTAAAAACTGCGCCATTTTATAAGCTTTCCAACCATATGCTACACTATTGAGGTTTATGCCTGCTTATGTACGCATTAATGGTTTGAAGACTACAAAGCATGGTGTCTTTAACAGTTAAAACATAGAAAGTCGGCATGTATTAAGCAAAAGTTGTATTTTTGTTTCAGCTTGAACAGTAAAAACAGTAAAAAAGTTCCCTGTTTTCTGGTATTCAAACCACTAAAACAAACAAAAAAATATCTAAACCTCAATAGTGTAGCATATAGTTGGAAAGCTTATAAAATGGCGCAGTTTTTAACATATTCTGACACTTTCTTGTATACAGGGTGTGAAAAATGCAATAGACCATTGTTTTTACAATTTTTATCAAACATCTTAATTTTTATCTTTGAATCTATTTACAATGGAGTTTTTGCAACTGATCCTCCGTCATTTTCCATTATTCTTGTTCAAAATTTAATGTAGAACACGAAAATGACATTATCTACTCAAATCCATATACAGGTAATTGAGAAATCGCTGTATTAAGTTTAAAAGCATGGTTATTTTTGAAAAACGTCAAATAATTTTTTGGGAAGCTAATTTTGAGACTTGGAACATTTGATATGCATCATCACACTTCATTTACTTTGTACTCACACCAAAAAAATTTTGTCACACTGAGTACAAATCACCCTGTATAGGCCTAGGCCTAAGCTAATCTCATTGTAATTCACGTACTCGATTGCAATACTGACTGCCAGACACTGTAAGTCAATCAAAAGACAAATTGGCCGAATGTTTTGCTTTAAATGTCAGGTGAATAAACTTCTTTTGGATTCATTTAAACATATACGCTAAGCCTATGCATATTACAGAATTCTATATAGGAATACAGAGTTAGCCAAGATATTTTAAAATACCCCCGCCGCAGTAAACCTGCAGACTAAGTGAATTTCCATTAGCCTGATAGGATTTCACATTAAAATGCCTCCTTAAAAATATCATATTTATTCCCTACTAGCTGTAACCCGCGGGCTTTGCCCCGTTTAACTTCTTAATTTTCAAGATTATCTCATTTTATGGCTCAATCACGTCCTGGTTGAAGTTTGTTCGCTACGCTCACTCACCTTTAGGTTGGAGCTCGTTCGCTACGCTCACTCACCTTTGGGTTGGAGCTCGTTCGCTGTGCTCACTTGCCTTCAGGTTAGCTCGTTCGCTACGCTAACTCCCCTCCAGGTTGAAGTTCGTTCGCTACGCTCACTCACCTTTTGGTTGCAAATTAGCTGTTTTCATAAATGTAAAAGAAATAATAGTGCTGCACCCTGTTGGTAATCCTTGTAACTTTAATGCTATTGAACATCATAGAACAGAACCAACTTGTTTAATTGAAACAGCTGTTAAGATTCAATAATTCCATTTCTCATAAGGTTAACATGGGAAACTCCAGAGCCACTGGGGCGGAGCCCGAAAGGATGTTTGAAATAAGAATATGCCTATATGTTAATCGGGAATGTGAGCTATCATCATGCCAAATTTCAGCCCAATCCGTCCAGTATTTTTCGCGTTCACTTGTCACAAACATACATCCATACATCCATCCATACATCCATACATCCAAACTTTCTCATTTATAATATTAGTAGGATTTAAATAGAATTAGTTTAACGAGTACTTAGGTTTGCTGCAACAGGGAGGGTAAAAAGGTGGTTTTTTATGTTAATAGTTTAGTAAGAAATGAATGTATTTTCCAAATTCGATCAAAATATGTTCATAAACAAGTAAACTACAACAGTTGACTTATTCTCCATAAAAATAACATAACTTAGGGATTTTAAATTTACAATTTTTTGGAATTTTCTCTGTAAACCATTAGGCGCACAATAACGCTTCAGAATACTAAATTATTTGTTTTTTTAAGCTCTACAAAATGGTTTGGAAATAAATTTGTGTTTTTAGGGTCAAAAATAGGAAAAACCTTCTTTTACCCCATAAAACCCCCCATAAACCCCCGTTCCCATAGTCCGATCATGCTGGTTTGCGAACTCGTTCGAATAAATGTAGGTTTACACGTTTGTACCAAATTTCATCGAAATCGGATCATTTTTGCTCGAGTTATCGTGCTGACGGACACATATATATATATATATATGAATTTGAACGGATGGTGTTTTTGGCCTCTAGGGACCTCAAAATGAAAAAATAAATCAGTCCCGGGTCCAGGTCTTACCATGAATACTACGGTACGGTAATAGCTTATTCCCTATATGGGAAATTCGCTAAAAGTGCCATGCATATTGTATTCTTCTGGCTTATAATGGCTCGTATGCGATATGAAGTACTCCATAAATTCTTGTCCCACTGCTTTAGAAGCATTATAGGTATATTGTGCGGTGTTGTGCGCAGTAGTCTTTCACCATTATCTGCCTTCAGGTTCTAGGGTATTAACTGACCTGTACAGGTTTACCTGTTATCAAAAGAGCCACGAGGACAGTAGAACCGCTGAAAATCTTGCTGGGATCTGAGGAAGTTGTGAAGACACATACATGCAAGCACAATATCAAACACAGCATCATCAACTTGAAGTTAAATTGGTTCAGAGAAAACTGAAATCCGATGCTAATAAACCAAAAGCATTTCCCACTAAAAGCCTTGCCCCAGATATTCTACAATTGAATATTGTCTTTGGGGGCCCCTTCCCAACATAAACATGGAAAGGTTTCATTGTGTGATAAGCCAATAAAAAGGCTTCATCTGCAAATAGTAAGTTTACAGGATTGGTTTGGTTCTGCCAGGTTCATCACTTGGTCACATGATCAAGTCTAGTGTAAAACTGTGTTTCTAAAAACACCTCCATCTGATATTTGGCCTTGACAACCTATGCTGACATAGATAAAATTATAATTGCCATCCCCAATAGCCATGATTACACAATACTGCGATCTCCTCTATAATTATACAATTTTGCTAACAACTGTATTTTCAGGTCGTTGAATCACTATGTGCTTCCCATCAAGAATCCGGACACAGTTAGGAAATTCCACCGTAAACAAGTGCCTCTTGCGATTTCTTCCAATCGCTTTTCAGTTTCTGGCATCTGAAAATTGTAATAAGAATATATTTAACATTAGCCTATTAGTTAAGAGTTAATGAATTAATCATGTGTTTATTTTAGGAAACTAATGAAATGTCAATACCCGAATGTTCGTGGTGTGGAGATGTTTGTCTCAAACCGGGAATAGAGCGGAAAGACATGAGCGAAAATATAAACACATCAGAGCACACACACACTAACAGGAACCTTTTAAAAAGAAAAAAGGAAGAAGAAAAGAAAGAAGAAGAAGCTTTCACCTCCACGTCTATTGCACAAAAGGACGACTGCAACATATTTGTACAAATGGTGGAAGCTGAGTTACGTAAGTTGAACCCCAAAAATAGGGTTATTGCCAAAAATAAAATACAGAATATCTTGTTCGACCTTCAACTACAGGAGATAAATGAAACACAATCGGACGTTATAAACCCAAAGTAGAATTGTATGCTACGTCATCAAATTCTGAGAATACTACTGCCTCTATTTGATTGTTTTGCTGATGGAGAGAGCAATCCTGGAAATGGGAATGTGATAAAAGAATTTTAGTATAACATTTAAAAGCTGTTTGTAAAATATCGGAGTCACAGATATCTACACTGGACACTGGGCGAATAGTAAAAGGACATTTTTAGTTTGAGGTAAATTTATTAAATCGCCTTCGTAAAACAAGTAGGCCTACAGTAATTGTATTTTACTAAGTGTAGTGTATGTATCAATAGTTGATTTTTTCCCACTTTCATAATGTTATCTGTTAACTAGATTTAGTTAATGTTGCTTACATATACATAATTTGATAATTATTTTGTAAATAAATAAATAACTTTTAATATGTCTCAGAGATCCAATTATTGCCCTAAGAACTATTGGTGTTGTTGCTGAGATTAACTGTTTGGACAACCTGAACAGACAAATCAGCGACGCAAAGCTATTACAAGTTGTTAAGAATCGCAAAGCTATGGCGACCTTATATCTCTAAAGAGAGTATCACATTTTTAAATTTTTGACTGAACCAGCTCTAAAAGTGTGTTAAATTTGTTCTTTGACATCCTAAGTAGGGCCTATGGTCAAAGTATGGTCGCCATTTCGATAAAAAGTATTAAGTAGTTAAACAACACATTGTCACATTCTTTAAATCTTTCTATAATAAGAAAATTTTGAGTTTTTGACTATACTCCTTCATTTACATTGTGTACGCCTTGATTTCTTACATTTTTTAACTTTTCTTAAGAAAATATGTTGTACAAATTCCTACAAACAGAATAGCGTCAACTACATCCATCTTGGAAAAGGCATCTCAAAGCGCACATGCAATAATGCATGTTGAATTGAAAGTTGAAAGGTACGTTGAAATCAAAAGTGTACAAGTGTGGACATAGCAAATGATTCAAGTAGAGGTTTACAATATCATAATGTTTTTTTTTTTACAAAAAGACATGATTCTCAAATTTTCTTTTGTTTTTAAAAATTGAAGCTGCATTATGAAGTTAAGTCCCCGTTGAGTAAAATGTTTTTGATAATACTGTATACGAAATTGGTTACATTACTTAAACTTAAAACATACATTTGAAAACAATGTTTAAGCTGGGTTTAGTTTCTTTACTGTAGTTTCAATGTAAATTTTCAACTTAATTTTGATCTATGTTCATGCCAAAAAATGTGTGGTTTTTATAAACGACAAATCTCATCAAAAGACAAAAGAGACAACTTTTTTGTTTTGTAATGTTTGAAATTCTTATTATTTGTGTTTTTGAACTATTTAGTTAAAAAATACGCTTGAGTATTATTGCCCCGTTGCGAAGCACAGGCAGAACAACTAGTTTACGTTTACTTAGTAAGTATTAAAACTAAAACATATAATTAACACTGAATCAGCACTAAATAAAAGGTTTTTTATACTGTCAGCGATCTTGAATCTATTGTTAGAATTAACTTTATGTAATTTGAGATTCCCTTAAAAGGCAATCTTCAACTAAGGTAATTTAAAGGGTAAAAATATTGAACCGGTGGAATCGAGAAAGAAAAATACTATAGGTTGTCCATTATGGTTTCTATTACAAATTTTTATTTGTCCAGTCAAACTCCCTAGTTTCATAATCCTGTGCTTCCTTCACATCTGCAAGTTCTTCAGGGTCCGTTACACAAAGCGCTGAAGGCTCTTCTTTTGCAGTAACTTCTAAGGCAGCAACCAATTTATCGATCAACTCGTAGGCAGTGATGGCAGATCCTTTAACTTTCACAGATCGTTGAAAAGACTTTTCTCCCTGAAATTAGTTAATGTAGTAGACATCTTAAACTTCAGTGAACCTCAAAACAAACTCACATATTATGAATGCAATGGTGAATCTCGTCCCTTCCCTTCTTAAGGCTGAAGCAGCTTAAGACAAAAAAAAAAAAAAAAAATAGAGAGTAAGGTCTGAGTAAATGGTCTGAATGGCTACATCAAGCAATGATTTAAAAAAAGGTATAAACTTGGTATATAATATAAATTAAATTATAAATAGGTGTTAAATATTATGTTTCTGCAAACTCGATAGGCCTACACACTTTTATACTTTACCCTGCCACAATTTAAAATGTGTGTCCATCAGTGTATACATGTGTAAAATCATTGATCAGCTGAATTGATTGGAAGATGAATGTACGATAAATTTGAAAAAAATTATGAATCCTTCTGTATACCTACACTCTTCACTTTCTAGATAAAACCAAACTGCTGTGGACAATTAGGAGTTTAATTATCGACTAGCGTACATGTTGCTCGAATTCGAGCAATTGCAATGTATTACAGGAGTTATTTCAAAACAAATAACAGTCATATTTACAATGAGTTTAAAAGAGTCAACTCAAAGATTACCGGTGTGTAACTCAGACCATGTTTATCTTCGTTATTGATAAACCTAAAGCATTCCGGCCGGTTTTCTCCTTCTCTAAATGCCTCGCTGTACAGGCAACACAGGTCATTGATAGAGGGCCAATTGAGAACAAAAAGTCGTTTTGGGGTAGTGTTAGGACGCATTTGTAACCTAATAGTTGAGTGTGTCCAGGGTCAGGTGCCGACTGTGATGAGTTAGGCCTAATACGCACCACTGATCTGTACCTGCGGTCGTTATCACGATTACGCCTCCTGTCTATGTTTCGTTTTCGTCGCGTCGGAGACATTTAACCCTCCAAGTGTCCATAGTTTAGGCCTTAATGTCCACCTATTTTTGGCGCATTTGCAAGGTTTTATTAAAACAGATCTGAGAAGCTTAAAACAATGTTAATTCTAATGTTCTATATACCATTTTGTTTGGAAAATCATGGGCTTCAATATTATATATAAAACATAAGGAACATTTTTTCAAAAAAAAAATTTTTAGGTAAAAAAAATATAATTTCGAAAATTTTCAAAAAAAAAAATAAGTTCGCGCTCAATGAAATTGTATAAATTATAGGCCTATAAATATTTGAAAATAGCCACTTTGTTCTAAATTTTATGAGGATTACAAATATATAATAATATAAGGAAGTGGATTTGCAAATAAATAAGTTATGGGCAAAAAACTGATTTCAGTACATAGCGTTTAGCTAAGAATGCATAGCCTAACCATAGCTAGGAATCTGGCTGATAATTTACATCAATATCACTACCTACTTCTTCAGGATCATCAACCAGCACTTCAAAACCACTTAAATCTTCTTATAATGCACCACGTATATCACTACTTTTGATTTTTAACACTAAAACAATGATAAACGTAATAAAACACATCAGTCATCGGTCCGGGGGAACCTAGCTGTTTACAAATACACGCACGTCAGCTGTCTGCTACAAATATTTTCGGAACTAAAATGAATAGCGCTTAGAGACAGACCTCTGGAGAAAGCTTAGAATATTACGGAAAGAACGATACCTAACTCGATCCAGTTCAATCCGATTCAGTCAGTCATAGAGCCTTCGCCGTAAACGATGTCTGCGTGTCGAAAAATCGACAAGTAACACTACACAAAGTGTGCTGCTTGTCGAATTTTCGTCAAGTAACACTGGGAGGGTTAAAAGAAAAAACAACAACAAATAAACAAATTATAGGTACACAAAAACACTATAAATGCAAAAATTTAAGTTAGAATCATGCTAACACGATCCGTCATAGCGACACAAAACAACCATAAATACACAAATTTAAGATAAAACCATAGGCCTACTAACACGATCCGTCTTGGGGGTTATGTTTACACAAACTCAAATAGTAAACAAATGTACTCAATGCGTTTCATTGAATTGAAAAATAAATAACAGCAATTAAATTATACAGCTGATCAAAATGTAAACAATTATGTTCCTCATAAGGATAACATGGGAACTTCCAAAGCCACTGGGGCAGAGCCCAAAGGACTTTTTCAAAAATGTAAGGCCAGTTTGCAAATCTACGCGACACGCTCTTTCCAGTGAGACGTCAATGGATGAAATCGGTTAATAAATGGCGGAGGAGTTCAACCGACAAAGTTTCATGTAGCGTATTAATTATAAAGATTACACTTCATTGGAAACAGGTAATATATAAAAACCTACCTACATCTAGATGAAAAAATACTCTTAGAAGAGGTTAAACCTAACATAAAATGTAGTTTGGAGTCAATGAGTTCATAAAACGAGTCTTACTGGACTAGACAGTGTTTATACTTACAGGAAACACAGTCAAAGATGATTCTTTCACACCAATAACAGTGCTTAAAAATTTAACTAGTGCTTCATTTTCACTCGTGTCTTCATTTCCTTTTAGCTGAATACCAACAGAGTTCATCCCACTATCTGTAGGATTGAAAATTATGTCAAATTATAAGCCTACAAAAATACACAGGTTGTGTGTACACAGGTTTGTACAGCTAAAAATTGCAATTTATTTGTTATGAAGTCACAAAGTTAAAACACATTATTAGTCATAAATTAGTCATTTCATAAATTTGTTGTCTTTATGGATGAGCTATAGACGTTATTATTAATTTTAATTTTCATTTCATTCTATACTTGAAAATGTCGTTAGAACAATAAAATACCCCCAAAGCAGAAAACCTGTACACTTAACAAAATTTTTTGTCTAATTGGAATTTTTTTTCAAAATTTCAGATTTATTATCCGTATTTCAATCAGAAATCAAATATTTAATTCGCATACTACTAGCGTAACAGCATTTGTATGCATTTGTTTGATGAGGAAACCTCTAAATGGCAAATTTCATAAAAACAGTCTGTCCACTCCAATTTAACTTCTGGAGACAGAATCGGCGAGGGATTTCTGAAGAAGAAAATTATATCCGAATCAATAAAGAAACTGACTAAATAATTAAAGTCCATAAAATAACAGTTGTACCACAAATAGTATTATATATACTTTTCAACAGTTTATATTTACCTATTACCCTGTTTGAGTTCCCTCTGTATAGCTTTACATTCATAACTAAATCTTGGTTTTCATCATAGTAAATATTTGGTTTCCCCATCTCTTTCTGAAACAACAAAAAAGTATTACTTTGACTATTCATTAGAGGTTTGGTTAATCTATTTACGTGCAACATGTGCGCTTATTATTAATTTTTTCTACACATCATAATGTCGTGATGTTGGCCAACAAATTGTGTCCATTATCTATCTACAGTTATTTTAGTGTCTAGTTAATTAATATGAGAAAATGATGAGAATTTTGCACCACACATCAATATGCATTAGTCTCAACCTACAAATCAATGACTGGGGCTATCTAGGTGATGAATATAGAAATTATTTGTATTTTTATCTATATGCATGAAATAAAATAATGGCTGGCATACAGTTAACATAAAAGAATTATTGAAGATATCAATCAGAATGTTTACAGTTGTAATCTCTCTTCAGTTTAATAAAATATGTCTACATCTAAAAATCGAATGTTCACTTTACTATTTAAAGCGAAATTGGAAGGGACATTATTCACATACATATCATGATCTTTGCTTACCTCAAATTCCTTGCACTTTTCATAGTGAGATTCGGTTTCTAAATCTGAACCATAGACATTGGAAAATAAGTGAACAATTACGACAAACTTTTGCCATCTCATATTTTTTGTTAATCTGTTACATTTTTAACAATAACTATTTAAAAATCCAATCAGATACATTTTAAATTTACTCGTGATGTGTGATTATTAACATTTCAAAATCCTAAGTTGTCCTTGAATGTTGTTGTTTGTGTTCCATGGTGAAACTGTGTGTGTATAATTTACGGTGTGATATTTAGTGCACATTGCAATGTTCTGGAATTATTGGTTTGTGAAATTGTTTTATTCAAGAGATGGTGCTTATCAGGTTCAACGACATTGGCATGGAGTCATTGAGTTTAATAGTTGTGACATGTTTGTCTTTGAGTTTACTCCATTCAGCATGCACCTCTCAATCTGGTACGTCAATAAATTATGTGAGCCTTTTTTGTAGTTTTACATCTTCTAGAAATCAAAACATAACCATAAACTTCTCTTTCAGTTACTTACATTATCATTTTTTCTCTGGGCCATGCCAATGAATGTTTTTAGTTTTATTTGTTCTTAACTTTAATGTAAAAACACTGACAGATATGTATTTTTTTAATTTATGATCTAGTTCTTATACTTGTGAACTTCATTCCACCTCAATCTGATAAATTAATAAAAGCTTTCTATTTTGTTTCCTGTGTTGTAGGTTGTACTCATCATAAAACAGACATTTATGTATTTACAATTTCTCTTCTTCTTACTCGGTCGAGAATTGTCTTGGTAATCTCAAAAAAATTTGTTTATAGGTGAAATTAAAACGGAATTGACATCATCCGACATAGATGAAATTGTTCGGTCGGTTGAGGATAGCACTGAGTTCTTTACAGGGAAGGTGTGCTGTGGATATGTAAGTTTATTATGATTCAGTGGACTGTTCAATATGATACTATGTAAAAGACGCATCTTACCATATACTACTTAGAATGACTTTTTGAAACTTTGATATAAAATACCTGAAATCTTAGTAAACCTTTAAAGTTAATCAGCGTTGATGTTCTATTTTATTAAAAACTAAAAGTAGGTAATATCATTTTAATCTAATTTTTTTATCATAGTTCAAAAATGTCTTGATCAAGGCATAATTTTTTTTTTAATATACTTTACCTTAGTTGTATCTTTTAAAGATATGTTTATAGTTTTTTATTTATCAATAATAACTAAGGGTTGGTTTATATTGTGTGTAAAAAAAAATTTGATTATATATAGTTTAAAGAGTTAACCTAAAATATTTGTACCAGTGTTTTTAAACTCTGGTTTAGCAATGTTCCCAATCCTGGGTCGTCTCCCCATTAGTACAGTTTGTTTCTAGTTTCAAAACTAGATATATATTATATTAAGTAGTTTTTTATAAAGCATACAAAGTAATTAAAGTGTTCTTTTTTGTAGGATGAAGAAAAGAAAGAACCCAAGTATGGCAACCACCCCGTTACATATGACCAGGAAGGAAATATCTTGATTAAAATATTAGCTAAACCCAATGCAAGCAAAACTATCATTGGAGGTAATAGAAGTGTAATAAAATTATGGCATATATTAAAATAAGAGTTTTTAGTTTCTTAAAACCCTAAGATGTTTTGCATGATTTATTTTAAATGTATTGAACTTTTTCAGAGGATTCACTAAACAAATTTTTGTTTTAAAACGACACCCAATTTCAAGATGGTGATGTACAATACCATACTATCATCATTATGCAAGATTTTAAATTTAGTTTTAGTTAAATGCTCCTCTAACAATATTGTATACTATTTTTGGCGTGAAAATATTTTTAATTAAATCAAACGCTCTGTACTTATTTTTTTTATCATCAGGTTTATTCTTTGGCATCTTTTTGCACTTGCCCTTTATAACACATGTCCGTGGTGTAGTTGTCACGGACTTTTAATGAAATGAACTCAGTACGTGATTCCTATAAAACACAAATTGAGTTTAACACCCGATAAGAAACATGCAATGCAACAAATGTGAGCGATTTACCACTGTGGCATTATCAAACATTCAACTTTTGAGTAGAGATTTCTAAGTGACAATTTAAATCTGCTGTTAGCTGCCAGTTAGTTAGATACCTACTTCGCTTTTGCTAACCCCTGAAACCTTTTCTTTGTTAGTCTTATTATACTTAATATAGAATCTATTTATGAGTATTTTCATTGTAATTTTTAATTTCAGTGACCACCAAAGTTGAAAGGTTGGGTTTGAGAATAGCAGCTCCACCTGTGGATGGTAAAGCCAACGCAGAAATGTTGCGGTTTCTGGCTAAAGTTTTGGACGTGAAGAAAAGTGCATTGAGTATCATTGAGGTATATATTTTATGTTGCGAGCTATTTCAGGCTAAACCACTCCTCTTTCTTTTGTGTCAATATCCTGTTTAGTAGTATAAAAAGTTATACAAGTGTTGTACCTACAGTAACTTTGCGTGTTTCAGGGCATAAAGTCAAAAAGGAAAACAATTAAAGTCGAAGTGGGGAATTTAAAAATTGAAGATGTACTGAGAAAATTAAACATTAAAAACTAATAAAATGTTACTGTTTTGTAAAATCTTGAAACAGTTGACACAAGTGTGTAAAAACAGAAATTATTTTGTAGGACAACGGGGATTTTAAAACAGTCAAAGTAGCTGCAGGAACTATGTTCATCGAGGATCTACTTAAAAAGTTGTTGGATGCTCAGTAGTAAGTACTAACTTGTTATATAATTATTTGATTTCGTGAAAATCAATACATTATATGTACATTTCTCCTGTTATATTTTGTTCATATATGTGAGAACAAGAGAAAGGTAGTATGACAGACAGAGACAAGTCCCTTGTTCGTGGTAGTATATAATATGTTTAATTAAGAAATTACTACGGCCATTTCCCATCATGATTGGCAACAAACTTTTTTACCAAAGAAAAAGAATTTACTGTAAACAAAGAATGCAATGCCGGTAACATGTATTTTAGTACTGTACCTCGCACATCATCGACATTTTAATAGCCAAATAAACATTTCCATATTCATCTGAATAATAATAATGGATAAAATGTTGTAAAAGATTGATAATTATTCTTATTCTTACCTAAACTTGTAAAAACCCATTTCAACTATGACCTTTGACCAAAAGGTAAGTTTTTTGTAGTAAAACCTCTGGGTTTTTTCCTCATGTAGATGCTAAATTATTAAGCTTAATAGCTAAATAATTATTCTTGAATTTCTTGATTGATGTGTTTTGAATATTTATTTTCTCAAAAATACTGTACCAATTGTTCTATAAGTCAGTTGTTAGTGTATTTTAGTGATTTATTTCTTCTTATTTTCAGTATGAAACCGGCTCACATTGGACATCCAGATTATCTCAAATTTTACTACATCGACGAAGAAGCTTAATATTCAGTTAAAATATTTTCTCCTATTAGAAATAAATGTTAAGATATGAGATGTTGTGTTAATATATTCTAAAAGCGATAAATGCACTTAGTACCTTTATAAATAAAATATACTTATCTTTAAATGTGTACAAATTGTCCCCATGGTATCAAAAAACTGTTAACTAGTATATATTTTGAAGTTTTAACTATTCAATTTTTTTGCCCATCTGATGGAAATGATGCTACAATATTTCTTATTCATCGACCTTGATTTTTAAAAGTCAAAGATTTTTACCATAAAGAAGACCAAAACTAATTCAAGCCATAGAAAGACATTTATTAATTTTAAACTCAAATATTTTTGTATGGTTTAAGTTTTGATTGTATTTTACAACGTGTTAACGATAGAACTTTAACTTTGTTGGAAATCAAGTTGTATTTTATATAGTACAAATTCAATAATTATCAACATCCAATATAATAATTTATTAGTCTTTGTTTTTATGAACAGATGGTTTATTTTAATTTATTTTAAACAATTGAGAAGAGTTGTGTTAAGAATTTAAATAAGTGATCAAGAACATAACAATTTAGTTAAAAGAGAAATGTTATAAAATATTTAGTGGCGACCGTGACAGGATATTTATAGTTAAAATTCAGATTTAGGACTAAGCTTATATTTTACTTTACAATGGATAAGCTGAAGTCATTAAAGACAAAAAGGACTCAACTAAGAAGGACTTTTACAAAGTGTAGTAATGAAATGGATAAATTACTAGCAGAGGATATTAAAGATGAAACAGCAATTAAAAGTCATCTAAACAAGTTGCAAGATAAAGCTGATAGGCTTTTTAAGCTAGATGAAGACATCGAGGAAGCCTTGTTTGAAGATCCTGCAACAACGGAAGAGGACTTAGAAGCTGAGTTTGATACTACAGAATCTTACAGAGACATGTTATCTTCAATGAGAGCTAAGTATGACCATTTCATTATTCAGGTTGGCCTAAGCCAACAGTCAAGAAGTGAAGTCGGGGATACCGTTCACAGTCTTAAATTAGTATCTAAGAAGGGGTTAAGTCTACCTAAATTACAATTAAACCAGTTTGATGGAGATGTAAAAAATTGGATAGGGTTTTGGGGGCAGTTTAAGAAGGTCCATGAGGATCCTGATCTAGAACCTGAGGATAAGTTCCAATACCTCATCCAATCTTTAAAACCAGGATCATCCCCTAGGGAATTAGTAGAAAGTTTTCCCCCATCTGGAACTAATTATGTAAAGGCCCTAGAACAATTAAAAGCAAGATTTGGTAGGGATGACTTTTTAATAGAAGTATATGTGAGGGAACTGCTCAGTTTAGTGCTCCAACAAGTAACGCTAGGTCCTAATACTAAACTATGCCGACTGTATGACAAACTAGAAACACAGTTAAGGGCACTTGAAACTTTAGGAGTCACTTCAGACAAGTATGCTTCAATGCTGTATCCTCTTGTAGAATCTGCTTTGCCCGAAGAAATATTACGAGCCTGGGAGCGGCATCGTTCAAGTAGGTTACTACACACACCCTCAACTTCTACATCGTCAGATCTAGTAATTTCTAGTAATTTTCTAGAAGAACTTCTTGATTTTCTAAAGGCTGAGGTGGAGAGTGAAGAGAGGCTGGCGCTTGCTCGTTCTAGTTTTAAATCTGCCACTCCAGGAGACAACAACAGCAAATGCAGCAGCCCCAGGAAAATGTCAACGGTTCACGAACCTCGTCAGAGTGAACCTACGGTAGCAGCTCTATTGACAACTGGTACAGAGGGTCCTAGAAGGTTGGTGAGTAACTGCACTTATTGTTCTAAAGGAGGGCACAATGCTCAAGATTGTTCCTATTTTCAACAATTGACTTTAGATGGAAGAAAGGAGCATCTGAAAAAGAAAAATTGCTGCTTTGTGTGCTTGAAGCAAGGTCACTCAGCAAAAAAGTGCAAGGGATTTGTCAAATGTCTCTTCTGTTGTAAAAGACATTATGGAATCATGTGTAGGGACTTATATGAAAGTAGGCCTCGATCTAAAATTGATGTTGACAAGCCAGACTTACTGCAGCAAAGTATAACTAAGCCTAAGTCAGAGGTTCTCAGTAATTTTGGAAACGGTACAGGAGAAACTTTATTACAGACTCTTTTAGTTAAGGTTGTGGATGATAAAGGTAAAGAATATTTGGGAAGAGCACTTTTGGATCCAGGTTCCCAGAGATCCTACATTACGAAGGACTGTGTCACTAAATTAGGTCTACAAGAAACAGGTAGTGAAGTCATAAATCATAGCTTGTTTGGTGGTGTAAATGTAAAACAAAAATCTCATAAAAACTACCTAGTGACTCTTCAGAATGTAAATAACTCTTTCAAGATCTCTATTCCTGTGACAGATCAAGAAACAATTTGCAACCATGTTCCTAGGCTTAAGAGTGAAGAGTACTTTGACATCTTGAAAGAAAAGAACATTATTTTAACTGATGTAGGTGAAAATGTACCAGATGTAAAAATGTTACTTGGTGCAGATGTATTAGTGGATTTGTATACAGGAACTATCCAGAGGATTGACGACAAATTAGTTGCTATTTAAACGTACCTTGGATGGACCGTGATGGGGAAACAACCATGCAGTGGAAGTCGTAATACGTCTCTACTAACTTTATTTTGCCAGAGTAAACCAGAATTGAGAGATCTAGGGAGCTGGGAAACAATCAGAAGAAGGGATCCTATTGAGGTGAAGCAGAGAGACTCTATTGATGCTGAAGTGTTTCAACCTTTTAAAGAAAATGTAGCGGTGAACGTTAAAAACAGATATGAAGTCAATTTGTCATCAAGCAAAAGACTAAATACTCCCAACAAATTAAGTGACTGTGTTAGAGAAATTGTTTCAGATCCAGCAGAGTGGACAACGGTTCATCAATTGCTGCATCGCCCAGTGACAAAAGACAGTAGCTTAACTACAAAAATAAAGCCAGTGTTTGATGGGTCTACAAAGAACAAAAGAGGTGATTCTTTAAACAAATGTTTTGCTAGAGGTTCAAATTTCTTAAATTTAGTTTCACCTCGTGTAATGAAATTCAGGAAGCCGTTGGATTGGGAAACCGTGAAAAAGAAATGTGAAATCCATCAAGTAACTTGGAAATTCGATCCTCCGAGTGTCCTATGGTGGGGAGATATGTGGAAACAACATGTGAACAGAATGGAAACATCAATGAAGAGATCAAGATTTAAGAAAAGGTATCTTGCAATGCTCGTATATGTTGAAACGCAAGATAATTCCTCTTCCTCAACCTCTACAGAAACAAGAAGAGGGAAAAAGATCAAAATTCCCGAGGAAAATGGATTTGTGAACTTAAAAAAAAAAATATGTAAATAGTTTTGTTTGAAATTTTGATAGTGTAAAACAAAATTCCAAGGTGGGGAGGATGTTGGAAATCAAGTTGTATTTTATATAGTACAAATTCAATAATTATCAACATCCAATATAATAATTTATTAGTCTTTGTTTTTATGAACAGATGGTTTATTTTAATTTATTTTAAACAATTGAGAAGAGTTGTGTTAAGAATTTAAATAAGTGATCAAGAACATAACAATTTAGTTAAAAGAGAAATGTTATAAAATATTTGTTATGGATCAGAATAAAATCAGTTCTTTAGTATTTAATAATTGTAAAAGTTCTTATTTCACACGAGTTCTAACAAACTTGTTATTAGCTATCCTAATGTAACACATTCAAACATTAATAGATATGAAAACCAAAGTTAGTATCCTTGAAATGATCTACAATTTGGGGTAAAATCACAAACCTTAAATTGTTTTAAATTTTACAATTAGTCAGAGACAATATATAAGTTATAAACAATACTTATGACTCCAAAACATCTTAACTTCAACACCTTATCTGTCATATGGATCAGTCCTCTCTGATTTCATCCCATACTGCTATCTTCTCACATCTCTAAATGATGACAATCTCAATAGTAGATAAACATTTGAAATGAAATGCATAAATTAATCGATTCTACCATTTTGTTTGTTATTACTTTGTTGAAGGCGTCAAAAGGAGAAACGAGTTTTCACGATTTTGAAGTGTCCAGTGAGAGGATACACTTTCGGTGTCGTACAGGGATCTATCCATTTTCTGTGGAGAGGTTGGCAGTACCTGATGATAAAGTGAGATGGGACTGTGATTGGTCGGACTACAAACCACCTTTTTTCACAGCGTTTTCCACCGTTGGACAGCCTTGGGCTGATTCCGACATAGGAGACAAAAATTTCAACCCACAATGGAACAGCGTTGATGGATTGCTAAACCGCAGAAGTTACATCGGGACCTACAAAGTTTCTAAAAACTACCCGATTAACCCGATCGGAAGAACCGGCCTTGCAGGTCGTGGTGTTTTAGGCCGTTGGGGTCCTAACCACGCTTCAGACACAGTAGTGACGAGATGGAAACGGAACGGAGAAAACCTACTGATACACAATCCGACCTCTGGTAAACCCATCCTACAAATGATCGCTATCCAGAAAAGAAGCGGGGAATGGGGACTTCCTGGAGGGATGGTCAACCCTGGGGAAAATGTTCCTGCAGCCGGGAAAAGAGAGTTTTTCGAGGAGGTTCTTGCTTACGAATTCAAATCAAATGATTCGTTAAAAATCGAATTGCTCGATAAACTTTTCAAGAAGGGTGAGGAGATTTACAAAGGATATGTGGATGATCCTCGCAACACTGATAATGCCTGGGTGGAGACTATAGCTCTGCATTATCATGATGCGTCGGGAAAGCTGCTTGACTCTCTGACACTACGCGCTGGAGACGATGCGTGTAATGTTTCTTGGATGGATGTCGACAGAAACATACAGCTGTACTCGGCCCACCAAAAGTTTGTTTACAAAATGACAAGTCGATTAAACGCTCATTTTTGAAAACTGAGTTTTTATTCCCCTGTACAATCTTGTAAACATGTGAAATGTTTGAATTATGGAAATTGTATTTATGTGCCGTTTTATTTTGGGTAGTGTTGTGTAAAACGTGTTTTACACTCATCTCCATTCATACTTGGCTTAAAATACCTACTTTTTACGGTCGCCATTTCATTGAAAAGTATTGAAAGTATTATAATTAACGTTTTGTTTACATATTTTTACTATTTTTTAACTGTGTGCACCTTTAGAAACATATAAAAAAACTCACTGAATGAAAACCAAACATATCCTAACACAACCATTTACTACTTTATGTTTGTAGTTTTCAAATAGCAATGAATTGAAGCTATTTGATTTGACATGGCCATAACATAAATAAAAGATAAAGAGTGTGAATCTTATAGTATTGTTTTGTTTTAGGTTACCAGTACTATATTGAAGTTTAAAATGATTTGAAACTTAACACCAAATGATTGGAGCATGTAGGATCTTTACTAGACAGTTTTCAAAGTATTTCCCAGAAATTGGAAGAATGTCAAAATCAAAGGTTCAGAAGTCTAAAAACAAAAACAATAAAAATGAAGAGGTAAATTGTTAAAATATTTCTTGCTTTCGCACTTGCATATTTTAAAATGTAAAACTATTTAAGTTGTTGAATTCAAAAAGTTTTCATTTTATACACGCAAAAAATTGTGACGACAAAGTTTGTTGATTAAAACACTGTCTAATTGATTATTATTAGTTTATTACCTATTAATTTAGTTTTTTAGTACAGCAATACTGTATTCCTACTGCCTTTTTATTTTCTAAGCCCATATTGTAATCTCGATACGTTATTGTAACTGTTGTACTGTACAGTAATTTCTATATCAGTTGCACATTAAACATAAAAAAGATCGCTCTCCTAACAAAATATATTGTTGCTGAGTCCACAAATTGTTTCAATATGAGCATGAGTATACATCAAATAGGTACTAAATGTCTGTGTAATTTTTCAGAACCCTCCCTCAGAATCCCCAAGTGGACCGGTGTCTGCTCGAAAAGATGGAAACATTTCTATTAAAATATTAGCAAAGCCTGGAGCGAAAACTAATAACATCACTGGTGAGGGATTCCTAATTCTAGCCAAATAGAAGAATCTTTTTCAAACTATTCTGTTTGTTTTGTGGTAATTAAAGTAATGTTTCTCTAGTATGAGGACTGTATGCTGTGTTTTATACACCAACAAATGAAATCAGCTGTTTTTGGCAAGTTAATTTGATTGTATTGTATACTTTATCCCACTTCTGACACCATAATATATTTAGATTATAATAGATAATGCTAGAGGTGTTTAGGCTCTGCAATAAGTAGACATCTTGAGGGCGGAAGAGTGTATATTTTCTAAAGACAGGGCTGCCACATATATAACACTAAATTATACACAACTGCATACATGATATACATATAACAGTAATGAGTAATGAGGAAATGATACCGGTACTATTTTACTTGCTCTTACATGTGTGGCAATGTGATAATTTCCATGCAGTGGTAAAAAAAAACATAATTAATTTTACTCTTCTTTTTCGCATCAGTCTATTATGCCTGCTTTCTACTGCAAAATGTTGATATCAAATTTTACAATCATTAAAACTTATCAAATCTATTTTTCTCCATCAAGACATAGGCGAGGAGGCTGTCGGTGTTCAGATCAGTGCTCCTCCAGTAGAGGGGGAAGCCAACACGGAATTGGTCCGATACATGTCTGGAGTCCTAGGTCTGCGGAAAAGTGACGTCACTCTTGATAAGGTAAACATTTGTAGCCGCTAACCGATTTAGTGGTTGTGACAATACTTTAGGAATCTTGAAATATTTTTGGCTTACCAACAATTTGCCTCAATTTCTCTTCTAAGATTGGGCCATAACTTCCTTAGTAACCTTCATTGGTCACTCAATTTAAATTGTGGTTGTACAAGATAATATTTAAGAATTTGAAATGAATCATAGATAAATACAGAAGATCCCTCTAATTATCTCAACCATTTGATTCAACAAGGTGTGACTATGTTCCTATGCGCTTGAGATTTTTTGTTGTCCCAATGCTTGTTTTGGAACATAGTTAAAAATATTTACCAATTTTACTCTGTTCCCCTACATAGTACATCTTATGGTACAGTTAGGAAAAATATTGTTTTCATCAACATTTTAGAGTTTTTTTTATATTTGTTTTGGGTCCCATTGAACCCAAAAAAGTGGTTTTGGAAGTTATGTCTATGTGTGGTTGTGTCCGATTTGGAAGAAATTTGGTATGTGGGTATTAATCCATAGTCTCTACAGGCATTTTTTCATTTTTTGAGATTTTGGTTTTTAATTCTGATTTTATGATAGTTTTTCCCACCACTTACGGATAATAAGGGTTGTAGACAAGCTAATGGGATAAAGTATGTGTCATACTGCTGATACCGTTTACTTGCACTGATGTCTACCTTTTGTCATGGTCCCAATGGTGTTTCCACTAACTACGGTAACATCTGTTAGCTCTGTGGAGTCGAACAGTATATCACCCACAAGGTCACCACTTCCAAAATGCTATATCTCCATTATATACCCATGCAAGGATATTGATTGCCCTACTGTTGGCTAAATTAATTGGTGTTTTAGCATGTTTGCATTTTGGGATACTTGATAAGAATAATTTTCAACCTTGGTTACACACACACATTCAATTCAATTTCTAGAATAGAAGAGGCAGAGTAGTCTATCCTATATTACAATGTATTTTTTCCAGGGATCAAGATCCAGACAAAAAACAATCCTACTCCAGTCAGGGACTTTGTCTGTCAGTGAAGTGATAGCAAAATTAAAGTCAGCTATGGATAGTTAGCACTAGGTTAAAATAATTATGTACATGTAAATATAAATAATAAATGTGTTTTTATAATAAATGTGTTTGCTATTAACTATGTTTGAAGTTTGCTTGTTGGGTTAGCGGTACTTAGTTGCGTTTTTTTACTGAAAAAAAAACAAGAAAAAAATTTCATTGTATTGTATGCTTTAGAACCTGATGCTGTCTTCAGGCGACTCAGAATCATTTTATACAAAAGCTTCGAGCAACACATAATGAAAGCCACAGCATAGTTTTAGAGTACCTGCGTTGAGCTGTCGTCTCATTTAAATGTAATAAATCGCTAAACACATTGTATATTCCCGACATGTTTAATTTTATGCAGTCGTTCTTATATGTTTATTCAAGCTTCAAATATCTTAAAGACAATCAGAATCCAGATTTATGTTTATTTCTATTTTTAATACAAGTTTTTTATGGTCACAAACTGTCACTTGGTAACGCTGGATAAAAAGTTGCATAATGCTTGATTTGAAATGCAACTCATAAAGATTCTATCCATCCCGTCAGTTGACTGAACCATTGACTGTATATAGTCTGTGTATACGCCTGAGCTGTCCACTGTTTATAGGGTGTGCAACATTCTCGTCTTAAACAACATTCTTGCAAATATCTTTACTAGGCCACCATAATAACTATACTACAGGGAAACTTAGAAAAAAACAGAATTGACGGTCGAAAACTTTATTAAATGTAAGAAACAGCAAGGCCTAAAACTAAATATTATTCAACTAAGGTTTGGTAAACTACAAGAAAGTTACACACTACCAAACCAACTGCACTGTCTACAATTGAGGTGAAAAATGTGGGTTTGAAAAAAAAAAAACTGAACTACAGTAAAATAAAACTTTTAAAAAAGATTTCTTAAACGAATACATCTCAATAAAAACACAGGACAGTGAAGTATAATACACTTAAAATGTCAAAATAATGTAGCACATTTATTTGCTTTTCGCTAAAAAACTTCATCTCCTCCTTCGGCTTCTTCTTGTCCTGAAAAAACAGTTACAGTTTAATTATCAGAAGAGAAGAACATAGAATCTACAGTAAAACCTCTTTACTCCAAACTAATTGGGACCGGGGGTAGTTCGGACTAGTGAATAGTTCGGATTACAGAACATATTGTTGTTTTTATATAACAATAGCTAGGGAAAAGTGAAAAATCTATATATATAAAATCCAATGTATGTTTGTCCTTTATGGACTCCAAAACCGCTCGACAGATTGTAATGAAACTTTCAGGCATTATTAAGCATCATTCAAGGATGGTTTGTGTGAAGTCTGGTGCAGATCCGTCAAAAGGGCTCCGCCCCAGTGGCTCTGGAGTTTCCCATGTTAACCTTATGAGTGCTCATATTTAAATGGAATTAAAGAATCTTAACAGCTGGTTCAACTAAACTATCTGATTCTGTGATGTTCAATAGCATTAAAAAGTTAATAGGTTTACTAACAGGGTGCAGCACTATATTTTTTTAAATTATGAGAACAGCTAATTTGCAACCAAAAGGTGAGTGAGCGTAGCGAACAAACTTCAACCTGGAGGCGAGTTAGCGTAGCGAACGAGCTAACCTGAAGGCAAGTGAGCGCAGCGAACGAGCTCCAACCTAAAGGTGAGTGAGCGTAGCGAACGAACTTCAACCAGGACGTTATTGAGCCATGCGAACGGGCTCATCTTGAAAATGAACGAGCATGTGACATAAAACCACATTAGGACAGGACGACGTCTGTCGGGCCAGCTAGTGCTTTATAAAGTAAAATACAGTGCTTATTTAATACAGTAGAACCTCTTTAATCCAAACTAATTGGGACTGGGGGTAGTTCGGACTATTGAATAGTTCGGATTACAGAACATATTGTTGTTTTTACATAACAATAGCTAGGGAAAAGTGGAAAATGCTTTATAAAGTAAAATACAGTGTTTATTTAATACAGTAGTAAACATTGGGAATAAACAGTACTGTACATTACAGTTGAAATAATTACGGTGCGTATATCAATAAATACAGTATACAATAAAGAACTACTGCACTGTGTATAGAGTACAGCATTGAGGCGTTCGGATTAGTGGACGTTCGGATTACAGGGGTTCGGATTAAAGAGGTTCTACTGTACAGTAGTAAACATAGGGAATAAACAGTACTGTACATTACAATAGAAATAATTACGGTGCGTATATCAATAAATACAGTATACAATAAAGAACTACTGTTCTGTATATAGAGTACAGCAATGAGGCGTTCGGATTAGTGGACGTTCAGATTACAGGGGTTCGGATTAAAGAGGTTCTACTGTATACATGTTTGACGTGTTGCAATTATTTATAGAAAGAAAAGTTGCCATATACTGGCAGACTAATTAAACTGCTGATGGTAGACCTCAAGGTCATATTTGAACAGTGATATTGCCTAGTAATTTCCAACTGCGGTAAAAAGTAAATTATTTTATTTGGATTCAGTAGGTAGAAGACTAGTTATCGCAATGAAAAATTTGTGTGGAGGCAGCTGTATTGAATAAATACTACTGTTTGCCGATTTTACTGTAGTGTTTTCCCTGCACTGTAGTTAATTATAATACTACAGTAAACTAGAGTATGTGTAATTCACGTCTATACGGTTATTTATTTTTATTTTTATTACAAAACCATTGTAACTTTAAAAACTGAAGTCAATTAATTATTAACTACTTTTTATCCAACTATTTAAACGGTCTTAGTACCAGTACCATATGTATAGGGTAATGAGGGGTTTTAAAGAATCTGAAGCCCCTGTATTCTTAATTTTCTCTGGTAAAGCATCTAAACTCCATCGCATTAAAAATAAACGTCGCTGTTACTTAAAATAAAGATTGATGTTGGTATTCAACAATGATCCATCTTTCAAGTTGTGACCTCATGCTATCTTACTTAACAAAATAGTAAATAATAAAAGAAACAATATACTTACTTCTTTGGACCTTTGACAAAGCTCCAGTCAACTCCGATTTTCTGTCCAAGAATTTCTGATTGGTCCAGAGCCTCTCTGGCGGCAGCGGCTTCCTTGTACGACTCGTACTCCACGAGAGCGTATCCCTGTAAACAAGCAATGTTAATAGAGTTTTTAAACTAGTGCTCAATAACCACCAAACAGTCACAGGGCAAACCTCAGATTAGTAATACAAAATTGGATGGAAACATCAGTTTTCTTACTTATCAACCCTTCCCGGACTGCCTATAGTGTGTAAGTAAACAGACAGCAAAATTATTATATTTGGATGGAAACTAAAAACTTTATTTTTCTCTCTATAATTTATAGAATGTTGAAAATATTTTACCTATGCAGCACTTTTGTCCAAAATAATTTTTTTATCCTTTTTTCAAATTTTTTTGCTTATTTTTTTGTTACATTATTAAAAAAATTGTAAATTAAATTTCATATTTGTCTAGAATAACATTCCTAATACAGTAGAGTCCCGCAAACTCGGCGTAATGTGGACTGGAAGGGTGCTGAGTTTGTGAAATGCCGGGTTATTGGGAACTAGGGTTAAAAATAAGAACAATACAGTTTTTAATCTTTTAACTGCCCTTTTTATTTATATTTATATTACAAGTCAGTATTAAGTCATCAGATATAGTACAACAAATCCTTAGTACCAATTGCAAATCATTTTACTTAAGCTGGATTGAGTCCATGATTAACTCGGACTCAAAAAATCATTAATTTTCTGAGCCAGGTGATGGCCGAGTTATCAAGTGCCGAGTTTGCGGGACTCTACTGTACATTGTTTTTTTCCAAACTGATGTTTTTTACAAAGATTAATGTTGTTATATAAAATCAACTATAACAATAGTAATAATTGGCGGATCCGCCTACTGTCTGCGGAGCCAAAATAGATAAGCGGATGATATATAGGCCTATAGTCCGGGAAGGGTTAAAATTGTAGCTAATGGACAGTTTTCTCATGTATTTAACCCTACATAAGTGAGATCGATCTAACTTATACGGTTTCGATTAACTTAATGAGGTAAATTCAAACTAAATGCCAATTAAATTAAGAAAAGGACACGAATAATAACAGAAAACAAAACACAAATGGCTAATAAACACCTAGGCGCAATAAATAGAGGGGAGAGAAGAATGTTCAAAAACATTAAAAGAGGATTATGAGGGTAGCCAATTCCTGCAGAATTCTGTGCCGTAAATGGGAGAAGGTTAGAAAAATTGTAACAATTAGAAACCACTTGTTAATATTTTTAGAAGGAATACAGATCCCCTAGGAATATGAACTTACCTTAAGAAAACCTGTTCTTCGGTCCAAATTCAGATGAATATTTTTGATGTCACCGAACTCTGAAAATTTGTCATGAATGTCATCTTCTTGAGCTTCTTCATGTACTGAAGTGACAAAAAGAATCCACCCCTCCACAGCTGAAACATGTTTAGGCTATGACAGTCTGGAGTTTATACTACTGTAACATAAATTGTCAAATAGAATCTCAACAAATAAAATACCTATCAATTGTTAAAATAGGTAATTAGCCCTGATTACAAAAAAAACTAGCAATAAAAGTTAGTGTAATTGAGTGTATTGCTTTGCTAACCTAGTGATCAGTTTCTCAGACTTCAAGTGGATAGGCTTACCGGTATCTAAACAAATTAAATGGGTTTGGATGGCTTTCCATTAATATAAAGATGTGTCATAGCCTGCCTTCTTTAAAAAATGCTACTGGCATAGACACTAAAAAGTAGGTTGGTATACAAGCAGTATATTTCCACACTGAGAGTAGACTATCATTACAGCATGAAAAACTGAATTTCGAATATCGTATCTTAAATGAAAAAATTGAGTCCCCTTAAAATGTACCAGTATGTTAATAAGTAGTAATGTTCTTATATCAAAGTGTCAGTTAATTTCTTGGACAGCCATTGTAATATACCAACAAAAATTCCTGCTTCAATTTAAAGCTTATAATTTACTTACATCTCTGTGGGCCGGGGTCCTCGTCATCTTCCACGTCCATTGTCTCATAGTCTCTAACTTCTTCCCTTGCACTCTTCTCTCCACCAAAACCTCTACCTTTCCTCTTCTTCGCCTTATCTTTGAGACGAGCAATGCCCTCTAAAACAGATATCAATAAGTTAAGTATTAGCCTACAAGAAAACAAACAAGGGCTCCATTTATAATAAAAATGGTTTAAATACCTTTAACTGTCAGGTGATCCTTTGAGTAGTATATTACACTACTGCAGTTTCAGCCCTCAGGGGGCTTTCTTCAGGTGTCGAAGGAGGTCAAAATTTTTCATTCATACGAATTCGTCACATTAAAACTACGAGAACACAAATACGACTACGGACACGAACACGAACACGAACATAAAAAACGAATACACACGTAAGAGTCACAAACATTTCCCATGGGTTAATTGATGCGCGACGCGTGCGAGGAGCTAGCCTAGACTAGCGTTATCATTGTTGCAGTCCTTTGTCCACCCCCTCCCTTATCTTTTGTTGCTGATAGTGGAACCGACCGTTCTGCCAACTTCAATGCTGATTCATATATAATGTTCGATTTGAACCCTCTTTGTTCATTTAGTACATTCTGGGGTTCTTTTTTGACGGCCTTATATATTTCAAACTCTTCCACTATCAGCAACAAAAGATAAGGGAGGGGGTGGACAAAGGACTGCAACAATGATAACGCTAGTCTAGGCTAGCTCCTCGCACGCGTCGCGCATCAATTAACCCATGGGAAATGTTTGTGACTCTTACGTGTGTATTCGTTTTTTATGTTCGTGTTCGTGTTCGTGTCCGTAGTCGTATTTGTGTTCTCGTAGTTTTAATGTGACGAATTCGTATGAATGAAAAATTTTGACCTCCTTCGACACCTGAAGAAAGCCCCCTGAGGGCTGAAACTGCAGTAGTGTAATATACTACTCAAAGGATCACCTGACAGTTAAAGGTATTTAAACCATTTTTATTAACTAAAGTGATTCGGAGGCTAACACCATGACATCCATTTATAAACTTAAACCAACCCTCAACTGCCAAGGTTGCTGCTCATAGTTAAATTGCTTGTCTTAAAATCTGAGGGTTGCTGGTTTAATCCCAGATGCAGGATCAATTTTGGGTCCCAGAAGCCATTTTTCAAACAATTAATAGCCTAACAACATATGGATACTAACATCGCTAGCAATAAGATCAGGGTTTGAACTGTTTCCTTAGAAAAACCAAATTACGATCATTAAATCTCCAACTAAGTTAGGGGGCCAACCACATGAAAACGTAGAATTATGGTGATTATTATGACATAGGCCTAAGCTTATTTAGCCTAATAGATTTTCCATTTTAAGTTAATAAATCTTAGTGATAGGCCTACTTGTATAGCCCACGCCTACCCAATGTAACTTATTTTGTTAGAATACAGGTTATTTGTTATTAATTTAATTAATTCCCTTCTTCGTCATCTTAAAGTGGGGAACACCAAGCAGGTTTCTTTGCCTGGTAGGCCTATTATTTACATTCCAACGGTGTAACACCAATTTACAATTGAAAGCGAGCTTAGATGGCTAACAAGAGAAATTGAAAATAGGCTACCATACAATGCTAATACAAGACAATGAGTAAAGAATATGGACTGTAGGCCTACAGGAATATTGAAAGGAAAACAAGCAGTAAAAAATTTGCCGCAGTGACAGTAACTTACATCCATAACACGATGACAAAATACATGTGAGACGGTTTCACAAAATGATAACAATGAACATGGGATTAATTGTGGGAATGAACCATGGCATGGGACGTACAAGGTCTATGTTTATCCCAGCTAGAGTATTTCTAGTCTTAGGAAAAGAGAGCACCAAGCCCAAACTTTCATTTAGGATAATGATTCTGGCAAAGTAGACCATGGTTAAACCATATTAACGTAACTTTTAACACGTAGAGTCGGCCGTTCCCGATCGGGTACGGTGCGTCCGTACCCCATCGGGAACGCTCGACAATGCCTTTTGTATATCTTCGTTTTTGCACTAGCGTCGGCCGAAAGCGGACCTATACCACGTTAGAGTGTATAGTATGTGACTTGCATTTTGTTGTGGTGTAGGTTGGTAGTAAATTTCCCCGTAAAATCCCCGTCTGGCAATCTCAAAAATCTACTTTTTGTCCCATCTTTTTCCCTCCATTTGCCAATAGGCTACAATACCAATGGGACCGGCTACGTTCCAAGCAGTGCTGCTATCTGTGGGTGTTTAGCGAACTACGTTAACTCTCGTTGTAAAGCAGGACATCCCCGCACGTTATTTGCTATTCGTCAGACCAAAATTGGAAAGCAAATCACACGCGGCAATCGGGTTTGTTCGACGCTGAGGGCTGCGCCACACTGGGGATACGCCCGCCATTCGACGTACGTACCGGTACCACAGCAAGCGTGTTAATCATGTGGTTGTGTTGGATTATGCTGGGTTTGTTTACTCTTTGATTTACCAATAACTTAAACTTAGGCAATCTAAGCGTGAAAGCATTAGGCCCGTATGATTATTATCAAAAGATCGTCCCAAGTTAGGCCTAAAATGGACTAGGATCAAATCCCAAAATATCAGAATGAGAGAAAGCCCAGTTGGGTCGAAATATTGTACAACCATACATCACTGTTTCAAAAGTTTTCTTCATGTAGCCTAGGCCTATCCCTTCTAGCATATTGAAGAATTAAATTAAAGGATAATAAGATTAGGAAGGCCAGTTTACTTACGATCTCCTTCGTCGTCAACTTCAAACTCTTCGGCATTGTCAAGTTCTAAGACATCTGCCATGTTACAACAAATTAATGAATATCCTTAATGTCAGTTTTAGTATAATACAAAACTTAACTTTCTGTCAATATTCTCAACAATACAAAATTGTGCTGGAAACGACAAGGGAACAGACAGGTTAAGGTTAGCTTGATGTACCACCATCCACCGCTACCGCTACCAACCGAACCGAACGAAACAACAACAAAACGAACCGACAACCGAAACCGAGTCCGATGGCGATGATGATACCTGAACCTGATGCCTCAGGCCCCGGGTACGATACGAGCGGCGAGCGGCGAGCGGTGAGCGGCGAGCGGCATGAGCGGCGCCGCTCTGACATCGGGTCTCATTTAGTTGCGTGTAAATTTGTTGAGGGTGGCCACGATACGTCTGAGCGGCGAGCGGCGGTGAGCGGCACCGCTCAGCGCCGCTCATGGTTCCAAGTCAAAACCGATTTTCGCGAAAACGCCGCTCGCCGCTCAGGTGAGTCATGCTTCAGTTCGGCCTAAAATGACAGAGAAACAGCAGCAAACATGCGATACGGGTCGATACGTGAGGTGCAGTCCAGGGAATGTTTGTGCAATGATCATCACGGAAGTTTTAAAACACTTCAGTCACCAGAAAAGTATGGGACCAGGTTAGGGTTAAGGTTTTTCAAAAAAACTAAGTTTTTCTTTAAAGGCAAACAATTGTCTGATAGCAACAATAGTTGCAATCATTCTTGCAGGTAAGCATAGTTTACCATTTTCGACTAAACTGACTCATAAAACTGGGGATATTTGATGAGCGTTATAAATGTGCCGCTTGTATCGTAGCCACCCCCGCCGCTTACGTGCCGCTCAGGTTGCCGCTCGCCGCTTGCCGCTCACCGCTCGCCGCTCGTATCGTACCCGAGGCCTCAGGCTGAATATTTATTTCAGGATTAGTGTTGCCTACAGTATTATTTTGAGGCTTCTGATTGGCTGAGAGAACATCATTACCGCGACGATACGGTTGATGCCAACGGCCCTCGGTGGTGTAGTGGATTGAGTACTGGGCTGGTGATCCGAAGGACCTGGGTTCGAATCCCACCCGTTACACTATTTTTTGTATTGGATTTTTTCATTATCAACAAGTTTGGTTGGTTAGGTTAGGTTATGACGGTTTAATTTTATAATTAAAACATTATGAAATTGAATTTGACCCATTTATAGTTTTATTTTATGAACAGAAATATTTTTTTCGGTTAAATCTTCATTTGATTTTTCATTATTAGCAAGTCTGGTTAGTTTGGTTAGGTTATGATAGTTTAATTTTATTTTATAATCAAAAATTATAAAATAGGATTTGAGGCATTTATAATTTTATTTTATGAACAGAACTAATTTTTCGATTAATAAACCTTCATTAGATTTTTTCATTGTCAGCACGTTTGGTTGGTTTGGTTAGGTTATGACGGTTTAATTTCATAATAAAAAAATATAAAATTGAATTTGAGGCATTTATAATTTTTCATTCTATGACAAAAATAATTTTTCAATTACTAAACCTTCGTTATAGCATTGACTATATAACCACAACATTGTGGTTATATAGTCAATGGTTATAGTCAATCAGAAGCCTCTAAATGACACTGTTGGCAAAATTAATCCTGAAAAACAAATCGTGCATACCTCAGAGTAATAAAACAAAAAACTAATAAAACAAAATTTTTAGGATTATAAAATGCAATGCGGTATTTAAAAAATATATTAGTGACTTAATAAAATATATTACCATAAGAAGGCATAATATATTAATTTTATTCCTGATTTAAAATAAAATAAGATTTAATGAGTACCTACTTGTTTGTGGCTACGGGTAAGGGGTGGAAAGGGTAATGTAAAAGTGTTTATTTTGCCAAATATAAATAATTAAGGATGAAATTCATAAATTTGCCAATTTTAATCAACATATAAACAAACAAACTGAAACAGTTTTCCTTTAACAAATAGAATAAGTATCAAAATAAATAAAACTTTTTAAAAAAATTATTTACATTTTTTTTATTTTCTCCGTTGTGCTACAAAGCTTGAGTTTCAAAATTGTCAAGGTGTACATGGTCAAATTGAAAATCGGACATTTACATGTTGTTATGTATATGTGCTTAGTTCTGGGTGAGATGTAAAAGGCGGCCGTGGATGAATTACATGTGGTACACTTTATATTGTTAATTTTTCATGGACGTGCAGCAGGTTGTTCTTTTCATGGCGATCTGTCTGTCGCCGTCTTGTCGTCGTCCGGTGACTGTCAATCATAAATCAGCATACTGGTAGTACTTGTTTCTATCTAACCTAATTTGAAATTTTTAATGACTTAATTCCATCACAATAATGACTACGGATGTAGAAAGAACAAAACTTGAACACAGAGCCAGAAAACGTATCCGCGAGGTTAAGAGAAAAGCAAGACCAGGTATTGTTACATTTTCTAGATCAGCTAACCTCAAAAGTCGGCATTTTTAGGTTGCTATTTTTATTATCCGTTTTCTGGTACATAACTAATTCTTAGTCAATATAAACCCATAGTATTCAGTATTCAGAGTTAACTTATAACACTAATTCTAAGAATTATCACTTAAATGTAGTGTAGGCAAATGTGCACATTTTGTAGATTAAAAGCCGGGCCTGACAATAAACTTACTTACCCTAGCTAGGCTAATTTAAAAGTAGGCCTAGGCCTAATAAGATTTTGACACCTAAATTATTAGTTTTTTTTTTCTGGAATCAACTTAAAAGGCCTTATGATGAAAGTTATTACCACTCTATTCTCGACCTTTATTTCGAATTCAATCTTTAATGTTGAATAACATAGGCTAGGCCTAGGCCCAGGCCCTAAACTTACCTCATTTATAGAATAGCTATTTAGTTACCTAACTCTTTTAAGGTACGTTTTGCTTGGAGCAACAGGTGGGACAGTTGCCCAACGGCAGTCGTGGGACACTGATCTTAGGGGTTTTGCATAGTCCTGTTTTGTTTGGAGCTACTGTTGCTAGAGCCGCGAGCTGCAGTCGCTGGGTACTGCTCCAAGACCAGTCAGGAGCGACAGTCGCTTAGCGACAGTTACATTTCTGATTGTTTTCATGCACTATTTTAACAAGTTTTCAATATTAAAAAATATTAATGGATTATGAAATGTAATTGGTAATTTTTTAAAATTTACAATACAATAAACGGAATAAAATTTTTACTCTGTGATGAGGTTGTTTATAACACTGATTTCTAATTCAAGTGATGCTTGTGTAATGCATTTTACAGAGAAATTGAGTAATTTTATTACATTTTGGCTTGTGACATGGACATTTTTGAATGTTTCTAATAACAAATAACTAAATAATACTTACCTAATTGTAAATTTTTACTTAGTGAATTTATCTCATTTATTAATAGTGCTCACTTTTGAGGTTAGGTGCACTGACGGTACCACTCGTCTCGGTGATGCCAGGAAGAAGTTGTCGCTCCAAGCAAAACAGTCTAACTTACCACCCTGTGATTACCGCTCGAGCGACTGTCGCTCCAAGCAAAACGTACCTTTACGCTACTAAGTTTCAACATAGGCATAGGCCTAACTTATGCCTTGCCTATTTAAGTTAAATTAAAATTAGTTTTTAAAGTGTAACTTATGCCTTGCCTATTTAAGTTAAATTAAAATTAGTTTTTAAAGTGTAACTTAAGTAAGTTAGGCCTAAATTGCAGGCAGGTTTTGCAACTTTTTATTTCTCTACGCAAAACAAGCCTTTAATTTAAGTTACTCCATATTTCAGAGGCTAAATTACATCTAAGATGGCACAAATTGCATGCCTTAATCACACAAACCAGCCTAAAGGGTACCTACTTAAGTTACTGTAGGCCTATTACCAATTATGGCAAAAGCTCAAAGGCTAAATGACCTAATCCTACAATCAGACATTTGGCATCCATGTTTGCCAACAGACTGAACCAGTGATTCAAGTTTTGACACATTTTGCTAATTTTAACCTTACTTAGGCTTAACTTACTGTTAAACAGAGAAACTAAATTAGGCCTATCGTTTAAAATATCAATATATCAAGGCCTATCGGTATTGATTTGGTTTAGTATTAATATTGCATTGAATTTAATTTTACCATGAGATATAACTTGGGCAACCTAAGTTAAATAAAAACAAAAAAAAAAAAACAATAATAATTTATACTTTTCAATGAAACGGCGACCATTCAAAGTAGGTATTTTAAGCCAAGAATGGAGATGAGTGTACATTAACATTAATACATTAATGCGGTTTGTCTACTTATCCTGAATTAAAAATTTGTACAAATAAAAATAAAATAAAACTAGGCCTAAGTTATGGAGAAGTTTAAAGAGGAATAAAAGTGGTGTAACTTATGTATTTAGACCTAACAGTCTTGCTAATCACCTCTGTGAATACATCTAACTTATGTAGCCTACGGACGAAAAGTTAAGTTGTTAGGTCAAGATCCCTTTCTCCATTTTCTCAAGGCAATTGTACTAAGTTATACCGTGGATTGTTGTTTTTTTTTTTGTTTTTTTTTTTAATTTGTTTATAGTTGACTGCTGTTTTAGTCATTGTTTGTTTGTAAACCTTCATAAAATCGATATTATTAATACGCTACATGAAACTTTGTGAACAATAAGGCATTTTTGTTTTAAGACTTAACCCCACATAGGCCTATTATATACTAAACTGTTAGTCTAGGTGTGTTAATTTGCAAACTGACATTACATTTTTTGAAAAAGTCCCTTGGGCTCTTCCCCAGTGGCTTTTAAAGTTCCTATGTTACCTATCCTTACGAAGAACACATTTGTTTGATCAGCTGGATAATATAGCCTAATTGCTGTTAATATTTTAGTTGCAATTTAAGGAAACGTTTGCTACAAATGAAAACAGAAAAAAATAATTGTATAACCACTTATTATACATTGCATAATTTTACAGGCCAAAGCCAGGTTTGGCTGCTGGTATATTTTGTTTTTGATTAGGCCTAGGGCCTTTTGATAGTTTCATTTAATTTGATGTTTTACATAGGGAAAAATAATAATATTTTAGAGGCAATTTTTTAACTTAGCCTACATTAAACCGAATCAAAATCAGTAATGTAGGCCTACTTATCACTTATCAATATTTAATCCGATTCCTATATTGCAGGTACTCTGCAGAACCGTAGGCTACCCAATCTAGCGAGGCCTATAGGCCTACATTTTTGTATTTTCAAAAAATTCCATGATGGTACGTGATTGTTTGGACTTTAAAGAATAGTTGAAGTGCCACTTGTTGCACTATCATGGCGGCAGAGATCATTTCCAAGATCTCTCATCTTTTATGAATGTCCCTTTTAAGAGTGCTGGTTTTACCTTTATCATGCCTCTAATGTCAAAAGGTCTTGCTCACTCTATTGACAAAGGCATCAATACTCTTTGTTATGTATGTTAGATTTAGAAAAATAAATTGTTTTATTATGACTAACTTAACATACCTAACTAAGTTTATTAACTTCTTTCAGAGCTTAATGACAAAGGAGCATGGTCCCTAATTGGTTACGCGGTTCAATTTGAACCCTTCAAAGAAGTAAAAGACACAGTAGAGAGATTAGACGAGTCTTGCGTTTCTCCTGAAGAGTTTATAGAGAAGTATGAAAAGCCGTATTTGCCAGTAGTGATTCGAGGATGTCAAGAATCCTGGAAAGCCACCTATAAGTGGACATTAGAGGTAAACAATTATGAGAAATTAATTTATTTACGAAGGGTCTTTATTGTAAATATTTCAATATGAAATTTGGTTGTATCTGATGTTTTGTTAGAGCTTGTGTGTTCATTTGTGATATTGCTTTTTGGATCTTGAGTAAATACAATTATTAACAGAATTCTCTATTGCTCAACTAAGTTAGTAATCTTGACACAAGAAGTAAGACTTCACGGCCAGTGACTATTCTAGGTACGACTAAATCACAGATATAAACTTATTAGCCTACCAAGAGCTGACGTTTTGACATCATTACAGACAGCTATCATCAGGGAAGTTCACTAAACTAGTTTTCTATGAAGCCTGTAATATGTAATGTAAGCCACTGTTTCAGTTTTCAATTTTGTGTAAAGTAAATTTAAAATTCTCGTATATTTTTCCGTCTCTAAAAACTGGCATGATGTCGATGTTTCATGTGATTTAATAACTGACTTTTGACTAGGTACCGGTATTTTGTTGGCTACCGGTAGGCCTACCTATACAAAATGAAAGCTAACGGTTTTGTTCAAAATTCATTAACAGTTGATATTTTTCTAATCAATTAATAATTTTATTCCAAAACACAAAATAAATGCCAAGGGTACTGTAGTGTTGATTTTTTAGATAAATCATTTTGGAAAACTTCTTGTAGCCTATTTTTCTGAAAACATGGAGAGGTTTGTGTACATATGATGTTCAGTTGCCAGATAACAAATCTCATACGAAATATGTTTATTAAATAGTAAATTTGTTTGATGTTTTCCACAGCGGCTAGGCAAGAAGTATCGCAACCAGAAGTTCAAGTGCGGAGAGGACAACCAAGGCTACAGTGTAAAGATGAAGATGAAATATTTCATCGACTACATGGCTGTGACTCAGGATGATAGTCCGTTGTACATTTTTGACAGTAGTTTCGGAGAGGTGAGAATCAATGTGATTTCTTCCAGCCTTAGAGAGTTTGGTAGAGTAAATGAATTTCTCTAACTTTTTACCTGACTTTATATCAGGTTGATAATGTTTATAAATAAAGGCTATCACACTTAAAGTCCTGCTTGGCCAACAAACTTATTGGGCGCAGGCCTACATGTACCTAGATCAGCATAAACCAAGAGTAGGCCTGCTGAGGAGTTCAGTCATAATGGCATATATACTGACTGTTTAATGGGTATTAAGTGTCTGATGTGTCAGGAATTGATAGAAGATATTACGTTTTCAAGCGCACTGCAATTTAAACTGTAGTGTGTCTTTTTCAGAGCTAAAAGCAATATGACAAGGACAGCTAGTCTAGTGGTAAGATTAGAGACTTTGGTCCCCGAGGTCCCGGATACAAATGCCGCTAATCACCACTGGATTCTATCTAAATGATAATGCAGTTTTAAAGTTAAGATGCCGCAACCCTTTAGGCCTAGACCTACCTGAATTATGGTATTAAAGAATTTCAAGCTCGAGCCTATGTCCTAAGATGTGAATGTAGAAGACAAAAAATATCACAGGCAGAAGCCTAAATGTAAATTAGACAGGCAGTTGAATATGGCGGTCAGTAGCATTGACTGACCTTGTAGAAAACCATGATTTCCCCCACACCTTCTTAGTCCTGTTTAAAGAAGGCAGAATTTTGCTTGGTCTCCATGTACTCTGAATCTACATTCTTAAAATCTTTGTATTATCATTCTTTTCTATTTTTCAACAGCACGCAAGGAGAAAGAAGTTGTTGGAAGACTACACAGTACCTCTATACTTCAGGGACGACCTGTTCCAACATGCAGGAGAGGAGCGCCGACCGCCGTACCGTTGGTTTGTGATGGGCCCGGCACGATCTGGCACCGGCATACACATAGACCCTCTCGGCACTAGCGCTTGGAACGCTCTCATATCTGGGCATAAGAGGTAGGTTTCAATGTCTCTGGAGACTTAACAAGAGGAAATTTTTTTGCAAGAATATAGAACCAATTCAATTTCAGCCTATTTTGTGAAATTACATGCCACAGTTTGATAAAGTTTGGAGTTCTCGATCATATAGTTCAAAGCCGTTGAGTTTAAGTGTTGTTGGACATTTCAGACAAGCTTGGTGAGGTTTTTGAAGCTAATGTTAAATTATGAATTCATTTTTGTATTGAAACAGATAATGTTTCATTTCAGTTACAAATTAAACTGTCTAGTAAATGATCATAACATTTCCGCCCTTGCAGATGGTGTTTGTTCCCCACGCACACTCCGAAAGATCTGATCAAAGTGACGTCAGCCGAGGGAGGCAAGCAGAGAGACGAAGCCATCACGTGGTTCAAGGTCATTTACCCTCGGACACAACTACCGTCTTGGCCACAGGACTGTAAACCTGTAAGTAGATCAATAGGAGAAGATTGCCTATTGCCGCAGTAATAATGTGGCTAAGATAACTTGCATCGTCAGCAAATTCTTGTTAACAATCAAGAAGAAAATATAACTATTTTTACCTCTTCATGTATGACTGATTTTTCAACACAAGAGATGAGTTATAGAGCTTTTATCCGGGTTATGAAATCATAGATCACTCAGAGGTGTAGGTTGGGTAGTGTTCCCAGTTGTCTGCATTCTAATGATCCGGCTATCCCAGGTGGAGATCCTACAAGGTCCGGGAGAGACGGTGTTCGTTCCTGGAGGCTGGTGGCATGTCGTGCTCAATCTGGACACGACCATTGCCGTCACGCAGAACTTCTGCAGCAGGACCAACTTCCCCATCGTATGGCACAAGACGCTGCGTGGCCGACCCAAGCTGTCGCGCAAGTGGTACCGCAGACTGAAGGTGGGTATTCCTTCATTGTCTTTGAGAAAACTATGGTAGAGAATAAGGAGGAATTCGTGATAAATATTTGTTTTGATTGTGGTGATTGGCATTTTTGTTATTTGCTCTTTTCCTGTTTGTTGAAAAATCATAGGAGTTTAACACTTTTAAATCAGTGAATACTTGAATATTTATCGACCAATTGAATATTTGTAGGTGGAGCAAATTGTATAGCAGGGTGTCTACCGGGTTCCTGGGAAAACCGGAAATTATGCGTGAATTTTGTACTTTACCGGGAATTTTCAATTTGTCCTAATCGTACATGAAAATGAAGTTACCGTGACCGCAGGAGACAATGATGATGTCCAAATGGCTGTGGGATTTTTTAGTGATTTTGCCGCAATTGTGCGTGACGACGATGACGTTTCCGTGACCGCGGGAGTGTGTGTCCAGCTTGGGGACTTCCCAAAGCGCCCATTCTAAAGCATTGCAATGACGTCATGGCACCCTCAGGGCTGTTCGGTTGTTTTGCCATAAGACTATGTGTATTGGGAATGGTACGGTCTGGCCTCCGTCCACGCCGCCCTTACTAAGCAAGGGATGATAAAAAAAATAAGTCATTACTGAATTGAATGACAAATTACTTGATATATTTATATTGTATAGTTTTTGAGTACTCGTTTAAGTAGTTTTGATTTAATTTTACTGAAGAATATTTATAATGAATATATGTAATTTATTTATGTATCGTTGGGAGGGCGGCGTCCAAGAGTCCTTATGGGCTAGCCGCCACTGAGATGATTTACATACCTCTTCTATGATATTTTAACACAAATAGCCTCTAGCACTAGAACAAAGAGTCATGTGAAGAAAAGATAGATGATTGAGATGCCAAGTTCACAATCAAACCTTGGAACAACAAGAACGTAAGAGGATGTGTGTATGTGTAAGCAAAACTTGGAATATTTAATTTGCAGGCATTTGTTGATACTTTTGCAATGTTACAGGTGAAGGAACCCGAGCTGGCCGCCCTAGCAGACCAGGTGGACCTGAACCAAGACACTGGAGTGGCCAGTGACAGTTCCAGCTGCTCTAGCTCCAGCTCCAGCGACTCCAGTGATTCCAGCATGTCAGACAGCGACTCGGATAGTGGGCAAGAATCACTGTCGGCCAAGAAGAAGAGGTGCGTGTAGACATTTTAAGTTTTTGGAATGCTATTGATTTTTTGTTGTGAGAATGATAATTGGTATAACTCAGGGTTAGATTATTGGCCCCTTTTTATTTATGTATGGATCAAGTAGCCTTTGAAGTAACGATATCATTACAGTACTTTAGTTAACTATTTTAAGACAGCGATGTCACTTATGTGTTTTCTTTTAGTTGAATTTAACCGAATTTTAGTTATGTGCAAACTGGCTTTAGATTTTCGAAATATATAATTTTAAGGACGTGGGGTGCACTCAAAGTTCCTTCCATAAGGATAACATTGTGATTGATTTGAATGTTATTATATTTTGAAACAGATGTCAATACATTACAAAAAAAAAAAAAATTAAATCCCAGCTGTTTTGGTTTGATTTTGAAATGTAAACAGTTTTCATGTTTTTAAAAATAATTACACACGACGAATCAACATACGGCAAGCAATGCAAAGCGTAAGGAGCCCAGACAAGGAGCTGGAACAACAGTTAGTGGCAACGTTTATACTTAAAAAATTACACTGACAAATACAAGAATTCACCAGCATTCACTTGGCGAGATGGCATTAAAATGTGCTGCGCTACTTTTTAAAGAAGAACAAAGAGGACTAGGCGAAGGATTTTAATCCTGCTGCCATAAAGGAAAAGTGAATCTACCACCATACCGAGAAATCTTTTATATCTAGAGCCTACTTAAATGGAGCAAATCATTTGAGCAGAAACTGCAAAGAGAACATTAGATCGTACAACTCTGCGCTCGCAATGGTCAGCACTCGAGGTAAAATTGAAGAACATAACGGTGGAGGGCCTTTCATGTATAAGGTGCACGACACAATTTATCACTCAATTGGCACCTTTCAACCGTCAGAAGGGGAGCATCCCACATATGCCCAAATTTATATCTACGAACATCGAAACCGCTGTTCAAGGAAGAATGCTAAACAAAGCTAATGGCTCTTGCAGCACTGAACTCATGCACATTTTGACTCATCATTTGGTTGATATTAATCCATACGCGCAAGTTTTCAGCATTATGAGCTCCGTCCTACAAAATACTCTTACTGAACAGCAAAAAGAACTTAGAATGCATACAGCCAACAATCGAGCTCAAGACCAACGTCGATACAACGATGCAACTTCTAACGACGTTGTTATAGTATCCTAATTTATTATTCCGCACGGGTTCACCTAGTAATGTTTATTTTCGGGCCAAAAACGTCATTTGTTTATGTTTATGATCCATACCGGTTCTGTTCAAGTATTCGTGGGCCCACTCAGCTCCCTAGCTTTGTAATTTTAATATGGGAAAGAGACATAATTAAAAAAATCATTTTCGTTCTACATTTATATTGAATAAAAACAAACACACAACAACACTTAATTACACATTAAACATTATTGAATAAGTGAATTTAAATTAGAAAGAGACTTAATAAAAATTGATGTTTAGTGAAAATAATTTTTTGAACTTCCAAAACCTAAATTCAAAATGACATTAAATTTTCTTTTCTAAACCCTGATTTATTAAAACTTTAGTAACAAATGATTTTTTTAAGGAAATCGTCAATAGAATAAAATGCTGAATCAGACAGGAAGTATCCTTTTAGCTTGGAACAACTGATTTCTATTTCTTAGGATTAAAATGCTATATATTTAAAGTGTTTGATGTTGAACAATTTTTTTGCAGAAGGAAACTTTCTTCGCCTTCGAAGGCGAGGCCTACATAACAACCACTTAGGATGGTTTTCAAAATGGTAAGTGTATTTTTAACTCTCATTTACATATTTATTTATTTAGTGGTTGGGTTTCCAAATGGGTCAATATCAAAAGGCTGCTTGATGATAGAATTGTATTCAATTAAAACATACTTCTTTTGGCTGCATTTAAATACGGCTTTGAATTTTGAATATGTTTGAGTTATTTGAGCTTATTATTGTGCCAAGGTCTAGTATTACCTATCTAGTTTTACAAAACTAAGATCTTTAATCCCCTTAATCCCCTTTAATCCCCTTTAGAAGTTGAGAGGACTTCTAGAATGGTCCTTTGAAGATTAAAACACACAAAATGGAATAAACTTGTGGTTTGAAAATGTTAGCTTATCTCTCTTAAAATAGTTGTTTTTTTTTGTTTTTTTTTTTTTTTGCCCAAAGACGCTTTTTGCACGAGCCCGGGATTGTTTTGCACATAACTTCAGGCTAGACCTAGGGGTTGTGGCACTATCACTTAGATAAAATCCATTGGCGATTTGGCGGGATTTGAACCCGGGACCGAAGTCCCACGCTCTAACCGCTAGACCAGCTCGCTCCCCTATCTCTTATCATAGTAGTGTTATCTGTATTGCAGGACAGTAGGAGACAGCTAGACCAAAGGTAAGACCAGTTACCTCTCCGGACAACTCAACCGTGACTGACTAAGAGCTTCTTCCGACTACGATGTTTGTAATTTTATATCGTGTCTACCCTAAGTATCGTAAACGCTTCATATCATATCCCTCAAAACCTGCTAGAGCTCGTGCGTTTCTTGGTGAAGCCTGGGGGTAGGTGGTTAGAGTGGCTCTGAACCGGTTTTGTATGGGTGGGAGTACGCCGAAAATCAGTCTGCACTCTCACCCTGTCCGAGCAACATCGCAGATACACCCTTTTTCAAAAACATTCAGGATGCTAGTTCGATTATCTTAAAACTTAATTTGTTTATTTTTAAGTTTAAAGTGGTGTGAAAATACAATTTTTTAGGTTCATTTAAGCTATAGTTTTGTATGCATTACGTAGTAATGCATTATTTGTACTTGCTTTTGCCTACGAAAAATCTCTGGCTCATTAACGAGTACATTTTGGAGTATTAAAAATAGCCTACTGTAAATTTTAATATAGAGAATTTTATAAAATATGGTATTCTCCATTCATAAACATTTTCATATTCCTCTTAATTAGGAAAAAAATTCGATATTAGTTTTAAATACTCATCACACAACTGTCGTGCGAGCAACATGAACCGCCTCCGCACCGCGGTCCGAACTCCGAAAAATGTCTTTAGTCAGACTAGTATCAGAATAGGACGACAACGTCAACTTCTCCTCTCGCGCTCGGCTCCCCACTTGCCACTACAGCCCCTCACACCCAGGCTTCACAAAGAAACGCAGGAACTCTAGCACGATACAACTGTCTAACATAACGACAGGCTAGTTGAAATGTGTATAAGTGTAGCAATTGAAGAAAATATTATTTTGATTGCATGGACATTGTTTTCACAAATATTTAGCGGTGTATACAATTTTTGATATGCTTGAATCTTATTCCTATTTTGGCTTTTTAATAATAATGATTGGTACTAAAGATTCTTTAGTTTGTGAAATATAAAATTTGATGTAGCCTTTAGTTAAATGATTATAAAGACTTCTACACCAGTTGTAGAAAGAAAGTTGGATACACTATAATATAATTGAAGTGCCTTTTCAAGTAAAGAGAAGTTTAGGACATACGTTTTAAGGATATCAGTTTTAGAAACGTTTTGGGGACTTTAGAAGCCAAGAATCATATTTTTTCCAATTTTTTCTTTTTTTTCTAAAAGCCTATTAAGGAAAGTCAAGTCTAAAAGTCTTGAAATTTTGTATTGCAGTAGGTTTAATTTCAAAAAGTGTTTTACTTTTTCTCAGAACTTTTTAGTTTGACGTAAGCATGTAGCGATTTAGCCTTTAAGCTGAGTTTTCTGAGGCCCGTAGTGCGAAGAAGCGATTTTAATTGCTGTCCAATCTGTTTCTACCAAAATGGCACCGTTAAATCACCCAAGACAAGAGGAGAGTGGCTATTTGATTTAGATTTTTTAGATACTAGGATTTAATTTTCACAAAATATGTCACAGGATATATTTGTATTTTTTTGTCAGTGTATCATTCTTTTTGAATACTTCTTTCTCCTTCACTAGTCATTGTTATGTTTATGTAGGATTTTGGACTGGTTAGAAAGTAAATGTTTATGTTTATTTGAACAGAAATACATATTATCTATTATTTTCACATTTCACAATTTACCAAATTCTAATTGAATGGTAAAGTTGTTCTTTCAAGATCACATATTCGACAGTTACAGACTTTTTTGGTAAAATACTTTGTTGTTCATGTAAAGTGTTTTTTTTTCTCCACCCTTTTAAGTATACCTGTATACTACCAAAACGTAGAATAACTATTGTTGAAACCTTTCTGATGCTCAAATTAAATTCTATCCTGTTTTAAGGAACAGATTGAGTAGGCAAGTTACAATATGGAATAAACGTATTTTACAGAGAAAGACTTAATCACGAGTATTATTTTTTTATCAAAGACAATTACACTTTTTCTTCCCACTATTCAAAATGTAGGGCTGTTTAATTCACATGGATTTCTTTGTCTTCAAAAGAAAAACAATAATTATACTTGCTGTGTGTTGAAGAATCTGTTTCTAGATTGTTTCTTAAATTTCAAAAGTAAACAAATTTAAAAGAAATTTTTTTACTGATTCGTGGAATCTGAATGATAAGTTTGATTTAATAAAAAAATTGTCAGTGCTCACGTAAAAAGATAGATGCGAGTATTCTCAAGAGGATCTTTTGGGCAATGACCTTCTTTCTTAGAAAAGATCTTTAAAAGAAATTTATGATGTAACAATTTTGGTTCAAGATTATTGTTGTTAAAATCATGTAGCAATGTTAAAATTGTCAGTGATGTTGATTCACTTGTGATCGTCACTTGTGAATTTTAAATTTTGTTGACAAAACATGGAATTACACAATATGTAATTTGAATCACAACACACAATTTAAGTAATATTATGGCGGTGCAGGATGGCCAACATAATTTATTCTGTGTGAAATATCAAATATGAATCACTAATAATCAAGTCCTTTCAAGACAGTTAATTCATTTTAGCAGGATGTAATTTATTTAGAATATGTTTATATCTAGTTGAATTTTGGTAAATGGAATTTAGAGTTCCAGATTTTTTGAGGTGCTGGTATAATATTTTACAATTTGTGAAATAAGTATTAATGTAGTAATAGTTTGAAAAGACTGGAAAGAACTGATTAAGTGCATAATTGTGATAGGTTTGTATAAGTTTTGGGTTTAGGTTTGAGAAGGACTCAAGTGAGCTAGCACTTGTAAGATAATTAGAAAATTACCCACAGTTTTTCTACAGATTTTTTAACTTAGTCAAATTTATAAAATTTTGTTTTCAAGCTCAACTAGACAAATTGTGTTAACTTTTTTTGCAATAATTTTCTTGTGGTCTGTAGAATAGTATTTTAGTACTGACAGTATATTATAATTGCTGGCAACAAAAAGATGCTGTCTTTTTCACTGAGTAACATTTTCAGTTTAGGAAGATTAAAAAGTTTATGAGCAAGGCGAGGATAAAAATGCCCATTTACAGCAACTCATTGTTGATGTATCAGTTGTAACAAGTTATTTTTAATTGTAAAACTAGCTACGACTTTAACGTGGAAATGTAATGACTACTTTACGATAGTGTTTATGTTGTAAAATGTTAAGTTTGGGGAAGCTGATATTAGGATGTGTAAAATGGAAGAGGTTTTGAACATCTCTAGAAATAAGCCCAATTATATAATGTAGTTTTGATCTGACGTATTAAAAATAAATTTATTATTCAGTCCAAAAAAGATTTGACTCAAGTAACATTTTAAATTGACATAACACTGTCTTGTTTTTACTGTTAAAAAATGTAATTGTTTTTCTGAAATGATACTTGTAATTTTAATTGATTCTGAAATGTCTCAATAAACATAAAACCATAAAACTCACATGTTAATCATCAATGTAGATGTTGTATAGTATTAAAATAATATATTTCATATGATTATACTTTAGAATTAAGTTACTTTGTAGATATCGATAGTTAGGTAAACAAATTGTAGGTTTCATAAATTATTTTTCTAGGTATATAAAACGTGCTAGGAATCAATTGAATGTTTTGATAATGAAATGTGTTGTTCCTATTGCCGTTGCACAATGTGGTAAAAACATTTGAACAAACTTGTCAAATAGTTTTAGAAATGAATAGGTTTTTTTTTTACTGAAACTAATTTTCTACATTACCCTACGTGTTATAAGATTTTTTTAGCTGAAATAAAAAAAAAATAACTTAAATCGGAACCTTTAACTAGTCAAACTTATGCTGCTGCGGTAACTTTATGAATTTACATTTCCTTTCATTTTTGTTTAAGCTTACATATTTCCTGTATTAGAGGATCCTTGGCTAAAGTGTTAAGCAGGTAATGTTTAACACATAAATATTTTATTGGAAACCCTAAAACAATATATAAATTATACAAACGTTCCGGTTTGTGTATAACTTAAGTTAGAATTGAGGTCGGTATATAAATTGACTTGAATATATGAATTGAGAGTTTTAATTTTTATCCATACCATGTGCTCACATTTATTTTCAATACCCCATTAACCAATATAAAAGGTTTTTCATAAACATATTTACAGACGGATAAACTACTTGGAAAAAGACTGAAACTAATCAACTTGAGTGCAATTAATTTTTTATCAACATTTCATTTAAGATTATGTAATCTCTATTGAATTTCTTGAAAATTCTTTTAAAGGACAAAGCACATTTGAAACTAAAAAGTGTAAACTGTTGCTTTTAAATAGTGAATATGGCATATAGCCTAGTTTTTTATATTAGAAAATTAATGTTGTTATTGTAATTCCTTTCCTAATGATCAGTATATATGTGCCTTAAGTATATGAATTATAATGGCAAATAAATATTTAGCTGTAATTTTGTATAGTCATTACCTACCCTATGGATACCGGTACACCTGATTTTACAAGCAGGCTACAATATTCAGAGTATTTTTACGAGGGATGAGTAGATAATTAAATTAACCAAATGGTGCAGGAAAGAGGCTGAGTTTCTAATAAATATGATAATGCAGTGTTCTTCCCCTGCCTTGTGGGAACACGCTTACAGTTCACACGATCAGTTGCAGTTGATTTTGTGTGTTCAATTTGTGTGTGTGTACATTAAGTAGCCTACTTTTTCAGTGTTTGACTCTTCAGCAGAATGCAATTTTCCCATGAGCTGATTTATGTAATCTCTCATAAATATTTTGAATGATTATGCCTAAATTGAATGATTTAGTGATTAATATGTAGGGTAGGAGTTCACTGTGTCACCTTAGCTTTGATTAGTCATTGATACCAACTTAGAGATTACTATCTGTGAAGTGATAAGGTGTTTTCGAAACATGTTTATTTGTATTCAAAATGAATACGAATATACAGGGTGTTTATATAATTGACTATAATGTTCAATGTATCACTGGATTATTTGTTCACGTTCATACTATTTTTCATCAATGTTTTACCATTGACTTTATTTATTGAGGTAAGTATTTTTGTTCAGTTCTGTGTAGTGTAAGTGTAATATGTGGAAATGAAGTTTTTTATTATTTATGCCTTTTGGTAAGATTTGATTTTTTAAAGTAACAAACTCACTTCTGTTATACATTACAATCATCATTTAATTTTTTGAATGTGTTAAAAATTTTCTAATCAATATCAATATGTCATCTTTTGACCAAAAACCCAAACTCAATCTATTTTAGTAAAAAGTAATGTAAGTTTTCTTGCCAAGTGACCTGTACTTCACATGCAGTAAAGTCAAATTGACAAGGAGAATGGAATAAATCAATGTTTTTACATAAGAAATAGATGTGCAAGTCTACTTCATATCCTTAAGGCGTTTTTTATGAGCTAGAATAAATGAACAATATTACAAAAAACAAAAAAACACTAGCTAACAAAGAGCTGCACTGCATTGCCAACACTTGGCACCACATTGGCAACACATGGCACATTGCGGCTAAACAAAAGTGGCACAACCTTTATGTAAGTTCTATAATTTTGGAAAACTGTCTTTTTCACTCTGCTTTTGAAACTGATTTGACGATGTCCCATGTCCAATCATATGCAAGTTTTTATTCTGTTTAATCGTTTTTTATCCTGTATTGTTATGTTAAAATTGTCTCATGGTGTATTTGATGAATATCTTCACATTTAAACCTATTATTCTCGATAAATTGTTTTTTCACTAACTCGACCGCTTTTGCAGCAACATTTAAGGCTAAGTTTGTGAGTCCACAGTTCTTTGTAATTAACACATCACTCTCCCGAAGGCGAAGGGACCATTGTAGTTACTTCTCTATGTTAGTTTCAGTGTGTATTATCAACGCCTGTAGATTCTGGAATTTTTGTACCAAGCCCTTTTGGAAAATCAACTGATTCTGGGGCGTCATTCGTTCACTGTGATGATGAGAAAAATGTCTATTTTGACATCTATGCTATCAAGGGAGATGATAACAGGATTATGTGTGAGTGATGAAATTTGAAAATTCCATTTTTTTTTTATTAAACGTTTCAATTGTATGTTTTGTCAAAAAGGTTTAAACTATAAATTATCACTGTGACAGTGGTAAACAAAACATTTGGGTTGCGGATGAATCCAGCAGGAGGGTAGATAGGTTTTTACACTCATCAAGTTTCATTATACTTTGATACTTAAGCCTAACAGAATGTAGAGTAAAATATCGAACATCAAGGTCATCAAAGTTTAATCAACTCCATCTTATACTTAATTCGATTTGTTTACACTTTTTCCAGCTGCCAACAATGGAGTCTTAGTTGTGTCGATTGGACCCACTGATGACATACGTAACACAGCTGAACATAATTTATGGAAATTCATTGCCACAGTTCTAGCAGTGGACATGGCAAAATTTGAAATACTTCTTGTAAGTTTTACCTCTGTAATTTCAAATTTCCACATCATAGACAATGCATTACCATGAAGTAGAGATCAAAGTGCTACATAGACCACCATTTTTTATGAATCAGACCGCAAGGACTAAATTTAACTAACATACCGGTAGAGTTAACTATATGGTGAGTTCCGTTTGTGTATCTGTACAACAACTTTTGAACTAAAGTCAACACAAAAAATAGTTATAAAGAACACAAAGATAACAGCAGCATACTTTTTTTGTTTCTGGTGGATTCCACGTGTTCCTTAATGACTGAGCCATTTTGATTAGAGAGAAGTTCAATGGAAAGTGTTCCAAACCATTAAAATATGTGGATTTGCCGCACATGAAGTCAGAAACATTAACCGTAACAAGACACCAAAATTGTAAATAGTTACCTCATAAAATTTGGCTTTTCCAGTCAGAGTAGATGGGCTATCTAGTCCAGTATCTATAGTGGTGCTAGGGGGTTTTAGAAATTAGATTGTTCCAATTTCACTAAATTTTGTTATGTTACACTAAAAAATAATTAGTTTTTCAAAAATTGAATAGTACTCATGTGAATGCGCCAAAACGATCCAACCCACTATGAGGAAATAATCTTAATGAATCTTGTTCCAGTTTCCAGGAGAAATCGGAAGAAGAGTTTTGCTAAGGAATGGTATAATGTCTAAACAAGAATGTACAAACAAGATAAAAGAATACTTACAACCTTATGTAAAAGGCGAGGTACCATCAACCAGCCAAGCATTGCTGTTTCCCCACACTCCACTAGCAGTCTACGCTCACAACGACACCGCAAAATCTGACAACGGTCAATGGAAATACTACGAGAAGAACTTAAAGAAAGACGAAGAAGCGTCAGAAAAGTCGCTAGGAAAAAGACTTCTTGAGATGAAGCCCTACTACGGGAAGGATCCTAGTTTGATGGCTAAGGTTTTCAGAGATCTAGGAGTACAGAAGGAAGTAATGTTCAGAGGAAGGTTAGTACCAGGGTCTCCGGTTAAACCGGTGCTAGACGATTATCGAGGTCAGAAGAGATTAAAGGTGGTGAGGAGGATTCTTGAAGGAACCGACAGAAGTGTAAAATATCCCAAGTCTAAAATGCGGATGGAAATGTCTCACCCAGTACCTGATCTGATCATGCTTGATTATTTGAGTCCAGACAAACAGAATGTTGTTAGCAGAAGAGTTGTTAACATTTTGTATAGGAACGCCACTGTTGACCTGGTCGAAGAGCTGGAATATACTGAAGTAGTTTAATCTTAAGTTGATTGAAAAATATATTTTTTTATTTTTTCCTCCAATTATTGTCCATTTTCCTCAGACTGAGATTTCTGATCTTTTTGTGACTAAAACTTCTTGTGACATTGGCTTTCAATAGTCTTTGAGATCTGGTATATTCTTACCTCAGGGACTGGACAATCTTCCTATGTGGTTTTACATCTTCTTTTGACTGGGTTCTGCTATCTGTGGGGTTTCACTATTGTCAATAACAATAACTAGAAGACCCTATCCAAGTCACTTAACATTTTGCGTTTATCATTGGTAATATATTTTATTTATGTTTGATGTACTATTTAAGTTACTTTAATTCATTCATTCAGCAGAAATACTTAAACCTTATTGGGTCTTAACGAAAGACTTCCATTTTTACAGCGATTCATTTTACATTAGTTGATTAGTTCATATCAACAATAATATTCAAGATTTTACTGATAAGCCATAGTAGTTTATCAGTGGCAGAAAAACTCTGGACGTACAATGTTTTCAGTGAAATTATTTACATTCTAGTGTTAGTTAAAAAATGATTTTAAGAAAATTTGGGTTTCTTTGTGCTTTTATTGTATTTAGTTGAATTAGAAATAGGTATTATGTTCGGTTGTGAGAAAGTTAAACTAATGTTAACTGAAATACAAACATAGACACTTTGTTAGCAAGGAATCCAATTATGACCACTTATTTTGTGGTGTTCACCTACTGCCTGGTTATCAAAACGTACGTATCTTCTGTGCCAATGAATAACTTCAATATTTCAAATTTTAAACCTGTCAACTTTACTGAGTTGAGGACAATCTTGGGACCTCAAGCTGACAACATACTCAACCCCATATTTGACACTGTTAAGGTAAGTTTTGAGTGCCTAGACTAACCTATACTATCGTAATAGTTGATCCGTTTTATGAGCAAAAGTGTTTTTGAGAGAAATCTATTGTAAAATGATTATAAATCCAACTAAACATAGATTGTTAGGATATTAAACTGTTTTTCTCTATTGATTTCTCCAATAAAGTCATTGTTGATTAACTTGCAGCACACAACATTGCCCAGAAACTATACAACTTGGATTAAAAGACTAGTAGTTCAGAATATCAATAGTTGATAGCAATTAACTGGTTTTCATTCAGGCAATGGTGTTTTTGTGCTATCGTTTCTGCAAATAAAGTAAACTAACTTTAAAATTTTTTTACTCCTCACTGTTTTGTAGTTATTTCCTTTACAATAATTGTATCATGTAGTCGTACGCTGGAAAGAAGTCAGCGGGGCAAGAAGAAGCATCGGAAGAAGAAAAAGTGCCTCTTCCACAAGTGTTTAGGGACGATCAGAAGAACATCTTTTTTGACCTGTGGGTCATCAGAGGGAAAGAGAACCGTCTAATGGGTAGGCATAACATTTTTTTAGCTCACTTTTAGTGGCAAAACTACTAGTATAAATAGCTTCAGAGGGGGCAGGGATCCTCATAGGCACTTCCTGCCTTACATTTGAAAAGTTACTCATTAATTTCACATCGTCTTAGTCACCAATCTTTAGTCTGCCTAGCATCTTACATAGCTACCAATGTAAGCAATATCGCTCAGCTTTCTAGTATTTCCCCCCCCCCCACCCCCCGCCTATTATCAGGTTTGCACGTTTTGTTAACAATAGTAAAAATAATTGCAAATGGGCTTCTTTAATTTTACATTTCAAAGAGCGAATCTCAAGCGCTTTTAAGGGAAAGCGATCTGAGGATTTCAGAAACTAATGAAAAATCTATATTTACATCCAATCTATCCTATCTCCCTCACACAAGAGGCTATCTACAATCCTACAAAGTTTTCTCATGTGGAGGTTGTAAGGTGGTTTCTAATATCCTGTGTATTTCTGTAGTAGGCGGAGAGCACAATCAGCTGTGGGCAGCCGTCCAGAGTTCTCCGGAGATTCAGGATGCTCTCAACATGGAGTTGTGGAGATTCATCTCCAATGTACTGCAAGTACGAAGGGATGATGTGGAGATTGTACTGGTAATGTTGGCTTCTCCATTCACTTTAGTAATGTTAGATTATTAACACACTTTTCACTTACCTGCTTCATGCTGTATTTATTTAGCAATTGATAAGAAAAACTAGTGTTTACTTTGAATACTAAAGTTGATATCCCATTCTTAAGAACCCATCCAAACAATTTATTATTCAAATTATGTACGGTTGAATGAGAGTTATACAGTGTTAACTACTATTAAAATTATATTTTCTCTCATAGATCGTAACACTATAATAGTGCATGTGGCATAAAAGATGTCTTAAGTTAAAGTTTAAAGCAAGTTATGCTTTCAAGTTGGCTGTGTTCAAAAGTTGGTGTGTACAAAAGAAACCCGTAAATATAAGCAACACACTCAACAATTCAAGATTTAAATATTTTTTCTTCTAATACTAAAATCAACAATTACAAAAATTTCCTTGAGAGAAGAGTTTATCTGCAAAATTTAGGTGGATGGGCTTAAATAAATTGATATGTTGTGCAGTGAGTAATAATTTTCATCAGTATACTTTATTGACTTTTAGGTTAAAAATGCCTCATCATTGTAGCTGTAGGAAGATATGAAATTTCAGATATAGGAGAGTAAAAGAAACAAGTCAATGAAGTGTAGAGATACAGTCTCAGTCACAGTCATATCTTTAGATATTTCCTTTATGGTGATCACCTCTTAGGCTGCAGCCATGCAGCGTCAAATTAGAGTAGCATTGAAACAAATAGGTGCACGCTACTGCGGAAAAACACACTGTGTGTGGCATTCCTCATTACATTTAATGCTGCTCATATTTTTCATGTGTTTTGACGCTGCGTTTGTGCGTGAAAAAACGCCCGTGTGGCCGCAGCCTTAATCCAAAGGCTGAAGGCTGCTGGTTCAATCTTGAGAAAAGTCAGTAGCTTTTTGATGGTTCAAATTCAAAACTGGACCCAACTGTCCTTGATCATTGTGCTTTTGCTAAATGGTCAACCATGGACATAGAAACAGCTGATCTTAGTGACAAATCTATCCCCTCATTCATCCTTTGCTCATCTTCATTTCAAATTGCACATGGTGTGTTGCACATCATGGCGTTTTGTGTAATTGTAATCTACATACAAATTCTGTACTTTACAAATAAATTTGACATTGTTATCAATTAAACCGTTTTCTACAGTCTGACAAGCAACAGATGGCCAGGAGAATTGTGGTGAAAGCAAGAGCGATATCGGAGAGGGAATGTCAACAACGGCTTCACGCCAACCTCCAACCGTTCACATTGGAGGTGCAGGAAGAGGCAGAGGCCGAGGAAACCATCAAGAGGGACAAGGTGCTGTCATACACCGAGACTAGGTAAGTGGTGATTTGATTTGTGTTGAGCAATGTGGATTGGAGGTCCATGCCATTAGTGTATGACTCTTGATGAAAATATTGAAAATCATTGTAAAAACCATAGGAAGATAGGACATCACAGACATAGTTGTATTTGGGAATTATCAGCTGACTAGTTGTTTTGTTTTTGTTTACATTTGAAGTTTATGTTTTTATGCTCAATTGTTATTGGAGAGGTCAATTTGCGGTGAGTTTTTTTTAGTTGTGATTTTCTAAGTAGAAAATATACATAAGTTGCAAAAGAAGTACTGAGTTTTAGTTTCTTACAAGCTATTTTGACGGTCAAACTCTGAACATGTCTGGCGCTACTACTAGATTTGCGGATCTAATAAACCAGTATGACAGTGAAGGAGACTTTTTGGAATGGCTGAAAAAGTTAGAACTGGAATGCATTTTTGTTTCATGTCGACGCCAGTGGCATTTTTGGACAAAGGAGGTTTTAGATGTTTCAATCTCTCAAGAATAAGAACTGATTTAGAGTTTTGTATATAAAGAAGCCATCTTCTTCATAGACCCTAAGTGAGAACACCGAAAAATGTTGTGTTCACAGTTAGCACTAAGAACGTCATTGTGTAAACTAAAATACCCCCGACAAAAAGCTTATTGCATTGCAATTACTGACTTTTTAATATGCTGGAGTACTTAGCGAGTAATACTGCTCAGTCTGTTCTGTTCTGCTGTACCCTGTATTTAGATTAAAGATGCAATAGTTAAAAATCAGCTGACTGCTAATACAGCTGAGTGGAAACCATGTTCGCCTGGTTATAAGTAAGTGGCCGATTTGATGAGAAAATTCAATATCAGAAATGGTTCAAAACTGGACACAGCTGTCATTGGGATCATTGGGATTAATGAATGTTCATGGATAAAGATCAGCTGTTCTTAGGCAGTAATATAGTTACATTTAAGGCTCATCGCTCAGGCATCTTCGCCTTAAAGTTCATACCTTGATATGCCGGGGCTGTAAAAATATATCTTTTTAGTTTGACTTAAAAAATTGTCACAACAAACATCAGCTCACTCCGTCTGTGGGTCATTTCAACTACGTTTATTTTAAGACAACTTTAACAAGTAAAACTCCGTCTGTGGGTAATTTCAACTACGTTTATTTTAAAATAACTTAAAGAAAGAAATGATATGTATAGTTCTATATATATAGTCAAAGTACCTAACTAATTATTTAAGTTACATAAGCTTTGTTCAAACACTGATTCCTTCCTTACATTGAATATTCTCAACAGGTCTGAAGTTCCGACCGGCCCAGCACCAGTGTTGAGCGAAGAGGATATGAATCCTTCTGAGACTCCTAACTACATCAAGAACCCGTCCATCCTGGACAAGGTGCTGAAGGACCTCATGCCCAACCAGGAGATCATCGTGAGGGGGAGGCTGCTGAAGAAGAGTCTACCGAACTTTGTAGCAAGACCTCTCCTAGAGAACTATCAGGGTAGCAAGACGCTCAAGTTGACGAGGAAGATCCTCGAGGGAGTTTGGAACTCGGATGTGGAGAAGTCCAAGAAGTTCTCTGCAGGGCCTAGAATGTCCTGCCCTGAGAGGATATCAGGATTGACTGTTAGGGACACACTGTCGGAAGACGGTTCTAGAGTGGTGGGGAGAAAAGTCTACGTTCCTATTTTCCAAAACGAGACACATGATTTTCTCGATGAACTTGATTATCATGAAGTCGAGTTTAAGGCTGGGCTTTGAGAAGGAAGGATAGACTGTTGTAATTAAATATTTAAAAGACTTATAACTGTGTATGCGTCAAGAGAAGTCATTTCAGCTAATTAAGTAGGACGTTAAAGTCATCAGTATTATCTTTATCTTCATTGACAGTAGTTTTGTGAATCTTGCAGAATTTATTTCTCTGAATCATGATCTTCTGCACACCCTAAAGTCTGGTTTTATTGCACAATGTGCACTTTCACTTTAAGATGTGAAATTAAATGTTTAATGTGAATGTTTAGTTTTATAAGTAGATTCTATTATTTATTTTACACCTCTTTGATCCCTAATATTGATGGTGAAGTTGATCGTTCATTGAAACAATCGACATTAAGGTTTCAAACCTCATATTTTGGATTTTTTAAGTGTAGCTGATCCAAAATCACCACCTGGACATTTAACCACGTTGAAACTTTTGAGAATGAGACATTGAAGGTTTTGTATAGATACCTGTCTAAAAAATATAAAGAATTTAATTCTGTATTATCATGCCAAAAAAATTTCTGGTGGTTCTCCTTCCTTGCTTGCTTGCCTAGTAATCATATAGTAAGTTTGAGAAAAGTAGATCTTGTGGAACCAGCTGTACTTTGATAGCCTTTAATAAATCCTCATGGCTGAAGAAACAGCTGATATTATTCAGTAGCAAAGCTACCCAAGGCATCTTGCTCTTGCTCCACTGATCACTCATGATCTATCTATATACTTACTACTATTAGTTTTTAAAACAAGGTTTTTTTCTGTAACATCCTTTTTTCCTTTTTCTAGCGATCCTACTTAAACTATTTTTACAATTTAAGTGTCATTTGAAAGCTTATCACCTGTTGAAGAGAAGAACGGAAAGGTAATTTCCTTCAGGGCTTCAATCCCTTGAGTTTAATTTATTTCTAGAGTTAACTTTGAAAGATCCAGTGATGCTGACCACATTAAATGTAAATTGTAATTTAACAGCTGATTGTTTTGTTGAATGTTTGTAGTGCATCTACATGATTTTTTATTAGATATGTGCTTCCGAGAAAGCACTTAATCCAACAGAAAAAGAAAACATCATTTTATAAACTTTAAAAGAAGATTAATTCAAATCTAGTTAATGACCGAAACTGTCATGCACTAGTTGTGATCAAGGAAATTAATAGTTTAAATAATTGTTGGTTAGGATTTTGATTTAAAATTAGTTTAGAAATGTACCTTAACATGTTAACTGTGAATTACATATAATATATTGCAATTCACAATAATCCTCCAAAAATCCAAGAACCACAACAAATCTTGTTTGTACAAGACACTATAGTGGGAAGCTTGAAGATGACCGCACTGGAACACTTAATTTTTTTGTATTACAGTAGAACACCTCAATATCCGACCATGACGAGACCAGGCCATGGTCGGAATGGCCTAAAACCTGGATATTGGGAGGAGCATTAATTGTAATCCTTCCCAACACCGGTAATCTTCTCCCGCGACCACGGTAACACCGGTGAGCATATCTTGCAGTCTCAGCGACACTTGTAATCGTCACAGCACACAACCTTATATTGAAGTCACCAACAAAAGAGCTGGCCTTAAGTCGTGCAAAACATTTTCAAAGGGGGCCTTTTTATTTATAAAAAGTAAGGGAATTGTTGGAATAGTAATATTCCAAGTATATCAATTATGAAAACCATCAATGTAAAATACGGTATTTTGAAAGGTTGAGGTTAGTATTAGGAACTTTTTCTGAACCAGCATTGTATAATGGTTCACCCATTCACCTTAAACAACCATAATAAGTAATTTTAAGTGTTTAAGAAATTAGAAACGAAGATCAAACAATCAAAGTTTGTGTACAGCCAATACTTTGTAAGTTTTATTTTAGTTTCAAATAATTTCTTAGACTTATAGTTTTGACATGCGTCGTAATAAAAATCAGTTTAATCTTTAGGACCTGTAAACATTTAGAGTTTTGTTTATGCATTTAAAAATATTGCTGATGAATGAAGACATACAATTTGTAAGCACAATAATATTTTTAATTGGCAAACACTATAATCTGTCTAATCAGTTAAGATAACAGTTATAATGTGACCGTCCTAGTGAATGTTGAGATGTGATGTTCACAGTTCTTGTTATTCTTGCTCTCTCTGGGCCGACTCCTGGATGTTCCTGGACCACTGCGGACCCTAGGTCTCCCGAGGACCATGTAGACCCATGGGACGTCGTTGTAGACTATGATCCAGAAGACAGTGCTGTGGCAGAAAAGGCTGACATACACCTTGTAGACAAAATGCTCAGGTATTAATAACATGAGGAGGAAGGTGTTTTTCACAATATACACCCTGTTTGCTAAACATTTAGTTATATCTATGTGGAGTGCCTCAAGAAACAATCCTGGGGCCATGTTTTATCTTTTTTTTGTACATCAGATTAGGTACTTTTTTGCTACTTTTTGTCTTGACCATGTGTGTGTCCAAATATTTGCTTTCAAAATATTTTGATTTTTGTGTTTGTTATATGAGGGAAAACCTAAATAAGACAATAGACAACGCTTAATTGAACATTACGCCTAAGGCCGGGGCCACACTTGTAATTTTTTACCAGCGAGATTGGTTTTTCTGTTTTCACGCGCGACGCACATAGAAGAGTTTGGCCATGGCCACACTAGTCTTACGAGATAGGTTTTTCGGGCTAACTAGTGAGGCTGATAGAGCATGCCACACTGGCGGCAATAAAAATCGTCCGTGTCCGTGATACGCACTCCCCCCCTCCACGCTTACTGCACAGTAAATCAGACAGGTTAAAACTAGAATCGTCCGTGGAAAAAGTTCAGCAAAATAAGATGAGTGTGTTCACTCCCATAAGCCGCAATGCCCCGCGACTAGTTTTACGTACAACGCCCGTGGAATGTTAGTAGAGAATACACGTGCAATTCCGTTTTTCAGTCTCGCTGGTAAGTCTCACGGACGTTTTTACTCTAATGTGGCCTGCCCCATATACCGTAATGTATCTCTCAAACCCACGGGTAACGCCCGTGGAAAAAAATTCAACGAGATAAGATGATCGTGGCCCCGGCCTAACAGTACTTAGTAAATTACAAAAGTAACTCCCAAGCCGTTTCAAAGCTTAAACTGTTTTACCTGTTGAATACTGGTACTGAACGATCAAATCATGCTTATATTGGTTACTCCATTGGTTACTTTCCAAAGGGTTTCTCTTTATACAAATCTACACCTGATCATATTCTTGTTCCAGGTTGGCCCAGAAGGACACCAAGTACTTCCATGAGGCTCGACCCCCCTGGGAGGGCCAAGTTCAAGATGATGACCCCGGAGTGCACGTCATGGGGTTCAACTTCACAGCCTGGAACCGGACTTACATTCGCCCTCCGCCTGGCCTCGGAGACGCTCAGACTAACAAACTCATGTCTAGGATGGTGAGTGACTTTTCTCTCCCTTATAAAAAAAATTAAATTTTAAGTTGACTGAAACTCATTTTTCTTCAGAACTTCATAAAATTCCAATTGCTTGCATCAAGTTTGATGTTTCTAAAGTACGGTGCAATTAGACCTTTTTTTAGTAAACCTCAACATCCAAAGTGAAAGCTAATTTTTGACTCCAAACTGTTCAATATAGTCCTCATATTGTATGACAAAAAGTAAGTAGGGGTTGAAATTAAAAACATAAAACAGTAGTTTTTTTTTATATCTTGAAAACCGCGTGGCTTAGCACAAAGTATTTTATTTACAAAGATGATCAATGATAAATTTCATACAAGAATGGTCCTCTTTATAAACTTGTTAAGTGAATGGTTACAAAGTTACAAAAGCATAAAATTGGAAAATGTTTGACTATTTTTAACGCTTTAAAAGTTCTGGGGGCACCTAAATTAATATATATAAAAAGTCACTGGACCTAAAAATCATTTTAAAACATTATTCAGTGATAAACTACCTTCTCAGGGGGATGGCCCGCCAGGAGCCAGAGGAAATTCTTAACGTAAGCATAGGTTTATATGCACATCAAGTTAAAGGTCTCTGTTAGTATAAATGACAATGACGGAAACCCAAACTTAAACAGACAACCAAGTCAAAATAGCATCCCTTGAAGATTTCTTAAATCTCAAGGCACCCGGCAAAATTAAAATTATTATCAAATGGTGTCATTATATCCACAAATGATTTCAGTGAGCAGCGAGGAGTCTCATTGCGGCATACAAACAAACTACAGAGCTACAGCAAACATGGATCTTACTTAAAAAACTGCGCTTGTAGTAAATACAAAAAGTTGAATTCTTTTTGTGTTCTGAGTTTATTAATGTAGGGAGTTATAAAAACATTTTATTTGCAGTATTTAATTTTAATCTATTATGACTTTTTCAGATTCCTGAGTTTGATATCACAAAGATCAAACTGAAAAGTGACAAAAGAGACAACAAATCTGTGATATTTGAAGTTTTAATAGAGAAGGGCCCTGAAAACAAGATTATTGGTAAGAATTTTATTTTAAATGATTTAGTTTTGAATTTAATCATGATATGAAAATCCATTTAGAATACTCCCCATCATTTGAACCAATCTTTATGTCTAAGTACTGTATCTATTAAATCCCCTATTTGGCTCAACTCAACTCCCAAACCCCTTATTTAAACAAAATCTATTAGAAATTGCATTTTAAACTTTTAAAGTTAGTATAGGGATTTACCACACAGAAGTATGGTACGGAGGAACCACACTAATGGGACAACCGTGCGCTTTCAGCTTTAGTATGTTGTGTCAAAAATATACTTGTGACGAGCAAGGAAGACCCCGAACGACGAACAGTGTGCGGAAATTCCTATTGCACAGGGCACAGGGTCTTCCTCCACCGTGAGCGTTGTAGTACATGGTGGCAAGGGAGCAGTGTTAGACTTTGCCCTAGACACCAGCTCCAGTGCTAGACACCACTTAAGTTAAAAGTTTACCATTGAATGTTTCCTCTGGACTTATTTCTCTGTGGAGTTACCAAAGATTATGAAAATACATTCTTTTATAAATTGATAGTTCTGCATTCTTTTAGAAATTGATGGTTCAGCAAGCTCTTCTGAGAACGTTAAGAGGTCAAGTGCGCACACACAAAGATACAAACTCAAACAATTTTTAAAAACTTTTTTATGTATCTGACTTTGGACTCTTCTTCTTCTACCGTGATTGTGATTTTTAAATCCGTAATAACTAATAAGCTCTTTTGTGGTTCTAGGACTTTATCCCCTTCAGCCTGCCTTGGACTCACAATTTTTACTAGCAAGCTAAAATCGACACCTTCCCCCCAAAAAATTACTCTATAAAAATCTCTAAAATCCTAATTTTGTGGAGTGTGTAACTGAATTTTTATCTGAAATTTGTTTTTCTCAGGCTATACCAGCAAGCAGTTACATGTCCAAATCTTTGCCCCTGTCATCCCAGGTGCGATTGACGATGAGTTGGAACGATATTTATCCAAAGTGCTCACTGTTTCTAGAAAATCCATCAAAATAATACAGGTAAATGAATGTTTGTTTTAGTACAATAGTTCCTGTGGTGGCTTTACTTGTTCATCTCAAAAAGAATGAACATAGAACTTAAAAAGGTTTTTTCATTTGATTTTGTATAACTTATGTTCCTAATTGTTAAAGTTTTAAGTCACCCACGAGTTGACTATATAGACCTGTACCCATTTGTTTACATTGACCAAACTATAACAATAGAACCTTATTGATAGCATGTTTCTCATGGGGATTATTAAAGTAAGAATTGTTATAAAGGATGACTTCTTAAGAGTCGGCAGGAGTCAATAATTTTGCATTGTTGTCCGTCAGATGCCAGGCTAAACAGTGGTTGTCCGAGCACCGATCAGCAAAAACATACGTTCACATTGAAGCATATTAATCAAGCTTGATTACCGAGCAGAAAATTGTATGTGATTCTTAAATATATTTTTCATGTAAATTGCTTTTGGGATTTTTAAACTTTTGTTTTTGAGATTGAAAAAATTAAAGTTGAAGTAAATATATTTATTTAGTTTGACAAAATAGTAACAATTAAAATTAAAAAGTAGATAGCAAATTATACCCGTGGTTTCAAGAGCTTTAAAATGAGATATTTTGCAACTTTTTATCTTAATAAACAATACCGTAATATGCTTCAACCATTAACATTGCCGTTATGGGCAGAAAATCCAAGATGGCCGATGCTCCTGCCGACTCCGAGGTTAAGGATAATATAAAATCGAGGGTATTTGAAAGTTATCGAGGTTCCAGCCTCTATGGATTTTTTTCAGTAACCTTTTGAATAGCATTCAGGTGATTTTTTTTAGTTAATCTCACATAAATAGATATTTTAATACGATAAGCACGGGAAAACAGTAGCGTTGTAATGGATTTACACAATTTAATTTTAAAATATTTTTGTACCGTACATTCACATAAATTCAATCTATTTTTTATCCTAACTCCTTTGTACAAATTATGAAAAATAATTTGTAATAATTTTTCAGGGTGATGCCACCAACATCAGAAAAATTCGGATCCCAAAGATTGCCGTGCAGAAGAAAGTGTACATTCGTAAATTGATTGAAGAGTTTGAACTCGATGAAGTAACTAGAACATCTTTTGACGCTTAGTCCAAGGATTTATTTTTAGATTGTGTAAATAAAAGATTTTATAAACTGTTGTAAAATTAATGGAAATAAAATTTTGCAGTTCCTGCAAAACCAGCTATTTTATTAGTTCTAAAGTACATATTATATATCATTATAGATAGATAAATTGATAAATAGATAGATAGAATATAGTAATAGTATTTTTTCTGAGCAAAGAGGAAATGTGTTCACAAAATATTAGAAATTTGTGACAAAAATTCAATTGTCATAAGATTCTGGGAGTATTCAAGCTAATATAAAAATTGTTTTAAGTTAGAAAATACTCATAGCAATTTCTTTAAGTTTTTAGATAAATACTCAAAGAAATCCACTGAATCTATTGTACCTATGTCACATTTCACTATCCCAGGGGCACATTTTAAAGCAATAAAAATTTTAAGGAATAGATAGCAAAGTTGATTTAAATAGTTCCAAACTGAAGTGTGGAGATTACAAATTATACTAATTATTTATATGTTACAAACTGAATTAACTAAAGTTTTGTGTGAGAAGCTCCTATCAAGATCATCTAAGGTCTGATAAGACAAAAGAAATGCCAACATGCGGTCTCAAAGGTCAGAAAAGTAAGTTTTTCAAAAGTAAGATTCAACCAAAGTGATTTTTGATTGTTGTGGATATTGGTTTCACATCAGCTGGTTTTTACAGTCAGCTGATTTTAATTTACTATCAGCTGTTATCATGTACCAACAAGTGAGTGTAGTAGTGTCAATGGCTGTTGTGTGTGTTTGTGAGCTACATTTAAGTCATGGGAATATTTCTTCAGGAGACCTTCTTGATGCCTCTGATTACTCGGAACCAATTGTAAGTGGGTTTTTCCTCCTAAATATTTAAAGCAAACACTTTCTAAAGAAGGTTATAGAGGAATGTTGTTAAACTCAAAAAAGTAAAAAAAAAGTAGATTTCAAAGTGATATCTGAGTAAAAATTTAAAAACGTACGTTTTCAGGAAAAGCACTTTGCAAATTTTTTCCCCTTTTTTCAATTATTTTTTTTATTTCATTTACATTTTGAAGTTTCATAAAATGTCCATGGTAACGCAATATCTTTGGTAGTTTTTTTTAAAAAGAGCATCTTTAGTGGACAATAAACACAAAATCCTGTCACGACCATAACAGACGTTTAAATGAATATTAAAAATAGTTAATATTATTTTTATAACTATGTTTTGCTATAAACTAATTTACTTTTATGACCATTATACAATAAAAAGGTCACTGAGCTCAAATATATATTTGGTATATTTGGTCTTTCTAGAAAAAAATAAAAAAACTCAAAAAATTGAAAAAAAGCCAATAAAATCTTTTTAAGTTTGTATAACTTCGAAAAAACTTACCTGAGACCCGAAAAATCGTTATGTTTGTATAGAGGCGTGCTTCTTTTGTGTATAAAACATTGAAATATGACGATATTTTAATTTTTGAAATTTTTATGATAGAAATCATAAACATGATGGTTAGGGACAAGCGGTACTGTCGTGAATTTTCTGAAATAATCTAAATCTTTCTAAACAATCCTTCAATTATACTGTTAGTTATAATAAAAATATGTGTTTCAATTGAACTAAACTGTTCAATTTACAATTATATTAAAGTTATTGTCACGACCAAACACACTATAATCCATAAGGCTGGATTGGTCGTGAAAAAACCCGCGATGGTCGTGAAAATTTGGTCGTGAAATTACGTGTTATTTGGCTCTGTTCTGGCGGTAGCCCTGCACCTCATGTTCGAGGATACAAAATGGACTTCTAGGTTAATCTAGCAATTGAAATATCTTATAAACAAAAATTAACACCATGTCTACTTCATCAAATGACTACGTACGGTCATGGACACACCAAAATTACAAAAAACACAATCTTTCCTTTATTAAACTTGTAATTCCTCTTTTCAACTCGAAACGACCAGCACTACAATCCTGACGTACACCCTGAACTAGTCTCTAAAACCAACTGACTCCATCGACGCCAGGCTTGCCACTGTCGTGCTCCAAAGTTGAAAATTTTTCCCAAATGGTCGTGACGCCAAATCGAGGGACAGACTTATTTTGTCATGGTAGTCAGTTTGCAATGACAATAAAATTATAATATGCTCCTTTTTTGTAAGTTTAATAACCATTGATGACATGAAAATATGGATTTATAAATTTCGGCATATGATTAGTCTAAAAACAGTGTGAAAGTTGGAAAATGTACCCTAGGGACACGTCATGGTCGTGAATTTCGAGACTTTAAAAATACGAAAAAAATACCTAGAACCTATTTAAAACAAAATAAATGTGTGTAACATGTTGCCCCGGTCCCAAAAAATATTAACACGTTCGCTACTGCAATAGTACGACATTTTTCATTCTCGTGGACCAGCGACGCACATATGCGTCGGCCGGGTTCCCCCATAGACTGCCGTCGCATATATGCGTCGGCTAGTCACATTAAAATAGACTGCCGTCGCATATTTGCGTCGGGGTTCTAATGTTATTGAAATGCTTATATCTTTGTAACGGTCTATTTGATGGCTCTAAATTCCCTGCAGTGGTCTACAGAGATGTCTGACGCACAACTGCGTCGCTTGGTCTGTGGATATGATGATTGGTGACGTCATATGATAGTTGGAAAAACTGGTCTTTACTTTTCTGCATTATGTATGCAGTATGTATGCTGAATTATCCTATGTAGCTTTTATATTTGTTCAGTTATAAACTGTTCTTGATCAATCTGTTTTTATTTTACTTACTTTCACCTCAAAACACAAAAAATGAGCTGTCGCATATATGCGAAGTTTGGTCTATTTCAAGAAAACTATGATAATTTTCACTATCGTCTTCGCTGTAGACCGGGCGTTGCAAATATGCGACATTACAAAAGGTTATTAATAATACAAACTAACAAGAATATATTATTTACAAACACGATTGTAGCGTATTACAATGTAAATGATCACTGTTTTACAGGTTTTCGCCCGTGGTCTGTGTGTACTGTTATCCAAGTGACAGCCGGTCTGTGTGTAAGATTCAAATGTATACCTCGGTCTGTGGCAATGACCGCGGCGTCGCATATATGCGACGCTCAGTAGCGAACGTGTTAAAACACATAATAATAAACTACAAATCCAGTATCTACGAAGTAAAAGGCCAGGGACATGAAAACGTACGTTTTTAAATTTTCACTCATCTAAGTCAGTATTTGTGTGCAGAGCAACATACCACACCTGTGGTCCGATTTTGATGAAATTTGATATGTAAGAACTGGGAAATAATCCATGGTATCTTCAAACTTTTTGCATATTTTTGAAATTTTGATTTTTAATTGTGATTTTTTAAAAAGTAAAAACCCAAGAAAGAAAAAGGTAAATTTACACCAATGCAACTTAAACTATTTTCATTAAAATGTTATATTAATATAGTCCTTTCAACCCGAAACATAATGGTACAACCCCCATTGCTGTATAAATTACGGTTCAAAAGTTATTGTACTTTACGTGATTTTCCCATAAAAATCCATAAAACGAAAGAAGTGGCTAGACTGGTTTTAATTAACATTTGTCATTATGATATGACTTAAAAGTTGTCCTTATAACATAAAAAAAGGTGCAACCCCCTTGCTGTAAAAATTACGGTTTATAAATTTGTGCAACTCTTGTGATTTTGCCCATAAAATATCATTGTTAAATTCCCACTCCTCACCCATGATAAAGGTTGCTGTTAAACTAACGGGGGAAAGTATGTGTCGGATTGCTGGATAACATTTATTTTAGCTTTATGTCAGCTGATCAACTGTTAGACATTAAAAGTAAAAGTTAGGGTGAGGGGGAGGGGATGAAATCACTTCCCCTCAACCGCCTAATTGTAAACGAAACAACATAAAGCAATAACAAAGCATAAAACATATAACAATATTGGCAAACCATTAACGTAGTTAGCAATTCTTAGCCTGTCTCCCTGTTGCAGTTCATGTCTGATACAAAAACTGTATCAGCTGTTATGTTGCTCTTGATTGATAACTCATAATACAGTATCAGGATCAACCAGTTGCAAGGGGTTTTTATACAAATAAGGACTTTAAACAATCTCCTTAATATTATTTACCGTTTCAACATCAAAAATTCTAATTTGGGGTAACACTTTTACGCTAAGTATGATATTGTAGTGTTCAAAGACATTTATTTTACAGGAGCCTGTAGCTGAAGATGCTCCTAGTTGGATCAGACATGATAGTTTCCAACACACGTCAGTCTATGTGGACATACGGTACGGGGACCAGGATGTTATACAGGGTTTGTATTGAAGTAGCAAAAATGTGTTGAATATTGTATGTTAATTTACATAAAAAACTTATCATTGCATATCAAATTGAGAGTACAAGAGGGCTACTCAGAAAGTAAGCAACGTTTAGTTCTGATGCCACTAGGCCACGCGCTGATCTCGTACATTTTGGTGCGTGCACACTCGGCAACTCAGTCGGTGTTTCATGTGTGATAATTTCAAACAACAATGTCCATGAAACTAGAGAACTCAGAACTAAATGCTCCTTACTTTCTGAATAGCCTTTGTAGTTTACCCATATCGTGCTTGTAGCTCTGATGATATTTTATTTTTAGGCATTATTGCGAGTATACTCAGTGCTTGTAAAGCATCTAAATTAGGAATTTTGTTGTTTCCCTATCTTATAGATACTAATGGTAGATAATGATGATCAGGACTTTATTGGGAACATTAAACCTCACATACTTGATTAAAATACCTTACGTATGATATAACTCAATTGCCTGTGATCATAACAGACCACTGATTTGTGTATTGATCTTAATGAAGTGAAGTAATCAGGTCAACCAAAACTATAGTCTGTTCATAAAATGTAGGCGGTGTAAAGGGAAGGTTTCCTGGTTTCCCCCCACCACTTTTTTAGCTTAATCGGTATATCAGCTGTTTTTTCAAAGTTAGGGAGAGGTGGAGGTTTTTTTTAGAATCACTTCCTCTAAAAAAATCCCTAAACGGAGTATTCGCTTATCAGCTTCAACAGTTAACTACCTGTTTGAATTTACAACTATCTGGATCTGTATAAACCTCTCTTTGTTTCAAGGTTATTGTGTACATTTAGACCAATTATTTGTGAATTCTATGTTGCAGAAGTTTCAAAAGAGAAACTGCTCATGCAGAAGAAGCCTGTCCCTAACAGTGACATGAATGAGATCTGGTACATCCCCTACGAGGACAGAGACTTGCAGCTGTTCTTTGCCAAGGTGTTGGACCTTGACCCTGACAATCTTACAATCGAACATGTGGCGGTGAGTATCAATTACAGCGTAGTAAAACAAGATGAATGAAGAAGTCGATAGTATACTTACATCCCCATAAGAACTATAGAGATGGGTTCTACCTACCTGAAGTCGATGATTGCACTTTCTTAAAGAATGTGGGAGCCAAGTTTTCCAGTAATAACCTAAGCAACATTCCAGACCAGTGATGGACAGTATGCAGGTTTAAAAAAAATCTGGGGACATATTTTTAACCTTTTTACCAGATAATGTGTGTAAGTTGGTAAACCAAACTTAGCACAGTGGTGTCAATCGTCAAACCTAAACCAGCTTCAGTGAAAAGGTTGCATTACACAGAAAACAGTTTTAAAACCCGTATTTAAATATTTAAAATCAATGATAATGTGTTTCCGTTGTCACTCCTATTCTAGGCTTTAATTTTTGTAACAATTGAAAACACTGAAATAGGCTATTCAATATTGTAGAAACCCAATTATAACATTGAGATAAAAGACAAAGAGAGGACTCCATTTTAATCCAGTACTAAACCCCACTACTATTAATTTTTTGTCTTAGGCTATGTCTAATTTTTGACAAATTTATTTATGACTAGCTGTAACCCGCGGGCTTTGCCCCGTTTAACTTCTTAATTTTCAAGATTATCTCGTTCGCATGGCTCAATCACGTCCTGGTTGAAGTTTGTTCGCTACGCTCACTCACCTTTAGGTTGGAGCTCGTTCGCTACGCTCACTCACCTTTAGGTTGGAGCTCGTTCGCTGCGCTCACTTGCCTTCAGGTTAGCTCGTTCGCTACGCTAACTTGCCTCCAGGTTGAAGTTCGTTCGCTACGCTCACTCACCTTTTGGTTGCAAATTAGCTGTTGTCATAAATGTAAAAGAAATAATAGTGCTGCACCCTGTTGGTAATCCTTGTAACTTTAATGCTATTGAACATCATAGAACAGAACCAACTTGTTTAATTGAAACAGCTGTTAAGATTCAATAATTCCATTTCTCATAAGGTTAACATGGGAAACTCCAGAGCCACTGGGGCGGAGCCCGAAAGGATTTTTGAAATAAGAATATGCCTATATGTTAATCGGGAATGTGAGCTATCATCATGCCAAATTTCAGCCCAATCCGACCAGTATTTTTCGAGTTTACTTTTCCCATACACACATACACACATACAGCAACCACCTCTTTTTTATAATAGTATAGATAGATAGATAAAATACAAATTTCACTCTTAGGTTAAAGATGTAACATAGAGCACAAGTGCCTAGGGTTTTAGGACTTGTTTTGAAGATAGCAGGCTTACCTGAATGGGAAAGACTCCAAACTCACACAAGAGATACATAATTTTACACTGTGTGTATATAGTGTAAAGTTTTTAGTTTCTTGTCCTAGTATAGAGTCTTTCCCATTCAGGTAAACCTTCTATCCTCTTAAAAAATCCTTTCCTAAAAATGTCACTCTGTAATTTTTTCCTTGGTAAGAGATTCCTACAATAACTTATGTGAGTACACCTGAACACCATTTAAAATACATTCAGAGGCACTCCTATATTGCAAAGGGCATAGTTTTAACTGTTATCAATTATCAATTATTTAAGATGAGGACGCCACTATCTAGCAAAGGGGCAGTGTCGTAGGTGTTATTTAACAGTACAGTAATACATTTCTAGCCAGACTGTATAGAGCTTCTATATTTTCACCACTACTTGACAGATCAACAATTACTTCGACAAACGCCCTTTTTAATTTATTTAATGTGTGAAAACCTATTTACATCAATTCACTTCATTATAAGTAATAATCACTAGACTTCTACGAAGGCATAAAAAATAAATGTAATAGTTATTGAACAGTTGCCTGTACGAGGAATTGAATAATGAGCTAAGATGTTTATTGGCACTTACCAATCCTTGAAACGCTGATATTGACATTTCAATTTTGCCTTTTACAGGTTTTCAGAGCTGAGAGTGCAATAAAGAAGATCCTGATCAAACGAATGCAGATTAGTGATGAACAAATTGTGGAAAGATTAAAAGCTGCTTTACAAAACAACTAAATTTGAAGTGTAAAACTGCATTTTCGTAATCCTTTACAAAAGCATTAGTTCAATTATTTTAGTGGAATTTTTGCCCTCAAAAATATTATTGGAAACAGGGTATCAAAAAGTGTATCCTTTGCATTTTTTGTAAGTATGCTGGTTTTCTTGCCACTTAAATTTCAAAATCTTAAACACCCTCAATAACATTTTAGCATACAATTTAAGTTGAACTGCCGGGATTATGCTTTGTAAAATTCTATTTGTTTTCTACTATTTATTTTCACCAATGTAAAGGTATATAGATTTGGGCCAAAATTGATCATGAGGGATTGAGTATTTGAAAAGAAAAATTATAAATATCTAAACAGAGCATTAGCTTTAAGAACATGTCTTCACTAAAACCATAGACTATTTATCAAGCCCTGAACTGTTATTTTGGTACACCAAGTATTTAGAAAGTTATTTTTTATTTAAAAATTAAACTATCCTTTGATAATTTTTCATAAAGTCTCACACGGTATATAATATTTCAGTGCCTTAGTAATAACCGCCAAGAATGAGTCTTATTTTAAATACTGTAGGTTCCTATGTGGTAGGATGTCAATCGCTATCAAAATCTATTGCTGTTTCTTTGGAATATGTTTGTGGGGAAAAAAGGAACATATTAATTATGAAGTTAATGTATAGGTTTTAACCTAAAATGCTGGAATGGTACTGCACTGCCAAAATTCTTTCACTTAAAACGAGGGAATTTAAAAGGGTCCAGTCAATGTAAATTAGACATCACACTTTATTGCACATAGTAAACAATAAAGAAGGACCAGTTCACATAGTCAACTTTACAAGTACTTACAACTAAACAAAATATAAAAATGTCTTTCTTTACGTGACACTCTGTTTACATTCAACATTATTTTACATTTATTTCTACAATCAGCTCAAAAACATAAATACATCTCATGATAGAGGTCCATGAGCTACATCTAGTTATGCTGATAAAAATATCCAAAATGTATATTTACAGGTAATGGGGTGTTTAAACGTTAAATGTACAGTTTGTAAAATTAAAAACACAACGTGTATTTAAATTCACCTCAGTTGTGGGAAATTGTACAATGCGCTGTATTATCAAATTATTTTTTGTAACTGTTAACAGAATCTTTTTTTTAATAAGATGATACTTTAAAAATATGCCATTCTAATCTATCTTCAATCCTAATCTCTTCAATTAAGTGAAATAGAAATAGAAACATTTTTCATAAATAGGAAAAAAATTGAAGTTTATTTAATAGCTTAAACTTATAAAAAAATGTAAAAAACGGTACATTTTATACAATTTCTGAAACTCAGAATTAAAAACACTTAAAATATCACTTTATCTGTACAACATTGGAGGAGCATACTATCCAAATTTGACAAAAGTTTCCTGGTTTATTTTCTTACACTTTTCAAAGAGGCAAGCAAAGTAACAAGATAATGTTAACCTGAAAAATATTTTTTCTCTTGAATACTTTGTTGAAATTACAAGTTGTCTTGCTTAAATTTGATCTGATCTCTAATTAAGTTCATCTTAGCCAAAGATTTGTTTAGACCCTACTCCATAGATGCTTGTAGAAAAAAAATATGAGCTCGAAACCTAGATACAGCATCTTTCAAAGCAGGATTTTTTGTGTTACCTAATGAATACTTGCAGAAAAATGACTCAAATGCTTAAAAATGTTTTAACTAATTTTATTAGTTTCCTCGTCACTAAAACCAAAATTTTGACCTCCAAGAATATTCACAAAAAACAAGAAGTATTTTTGTGAACATTTTAACTGAAAAGTTTCTTTGGTTGCCTCCTTTACTTCCATGTCTGTCTTTGGACTCTGCTTTCTCACTTATGTTTGTAGATTTCCTCTCAATCTTACTTTCAGTATCAGTTGAGAGAGTCGCCTCCAGCATCATGCCCGTAGAATACTGGGTCTGAAAAAAAAGACAACAGCTTAGTTTAAATAAACATTAAATATTCTAAGCAAGATTGTTTCTGCACCCAGAAGCCATGTGTGTCATTGACATAATAAAGGAAAAGTAGCTCTTTATAGGATACTTCAATTCATGAACCTAAATTTGACCATATTTTTCAGTTTTTTGGAGCCAAAATTAACACACATTGCAGGTCCACAACGTTTACCTAGAACTAAAAAGGTTGTATATGCCCTCTAGAAGTTGTTCACTAACTACCCTTAGTTCAATTGGGTGAAAAATCCCTGTGGTAGACAGATTTGAACCCTTCCTAAATAAATAGGTGAATGAGAATCATATAAATGAGTTACTAAATCTTATACAATAGTAATAAAAGTTGTAAGATTCCTCCGATGTATTAAACTTCCAAAGCTCAAGATAGTTGAAGGTCTGTAACTGTTTCAAGACTTGAGTCCAAGTGTCACTTTTCACAGCTGTACTGACTCTTGGCTGAGAAATTTCACACTTGAGTGACGAAACAGAGCCACAAGCTGTTTTTTATTTACTCTCCATGCACTCCTGCCTTCATACCTCTGTATTTATATTTCCCACATATGGATATGACCATGGTTGAAATGTGAATGAGTGTAGACTCAATATTAAGATTTTATCGGTTACAGACTATTATTTTACAAAGAAATTCGTAATACTTCGATGCAAGATTTTTTAAATCTTACTTAAATACAACTACCAGACAAATTAACTGTTTTATTTTGGCATCACTCACGGTTATGGGTTCCGATCTAAGAAGAGTAAGAAACTTTCCAGTCAATCTTCAGTCAATATCATCACAGTATTTTAAACACTTTTAAAATTGGATACATTTTTTTCACAATTATTTTGAGAGAGCTACATGCCTCCTCCAGCTGATTTAGATGTTAATGTATTGTTTTTGTCAATTAAAGTATCAAAATAAATTGGATTGGGTGAAAATTGAGTAGATATTAGCAGTCAGGCACTTTGGCAATGGTGGATGCTAGAATCTCAAGCTTCTAAAATCGGTAACACCTTAAAGAGTTGTGACGTGTCTACGTGCTCAAGGCTCAACGGCACAGGTTTTGTTGCTGCGTGGTTGGCAGCCGGGGCTGGGGATTCGGTTACAGAGTTCAACTCACATCTTACCTAGTGTGTTGAGGCCGTAGTGCGCCTGGTAAACTGTAGATCCATTGGTAGTCATGGATGAACTGATGGGCAGACCCGACCCCAGCGACCCCTGGTGGGAGGTCAGCTGACTGAAGCCGCCCATGCCACCTTGCGACAGCTGGGACAGACCTGTGGACACCATTACCACTTGAGATGTGTGTATTTACTGAAATACGGGTGTGAATCGAGTGAGACTTATGTAGCTTTTTTACCGACCAAGAACAATTTTTTGCCAGGACCATTTATTAAAAGCCCAATGCTCAAGGACAGCTGGTCCAGTTTCCACCTTTCGATTGTTTGGTAAGGACTACAACCACTCTTCTACTCAGCACGATAATTTAATATTCTCTCTTGTACTAGGTGGTAGCACAGAGGTAGAATTGTATATGCTAGTAAGCATCTACAGTATTTGACTGTGTTAAAGTACAGTCAGTACTGGTATCTAAAAACATCACACCCGAGTATAGAAAGGCCAGTGTAAAATAGTTACCTGAGGTCATGGAGGTGACGCCCCACCTGGGCGTGTCGCCGCTACCGAACATGCCCGAGGGGCAGAGTCCCTCCGACATGGAGCCAAAGGGTGGTAGACCGTGAGAGGGCAGGAGAGCACCGGGAGTGCGGAAGACGTTGGTCGTCTTCTTGCGCTTTTTCCACTTTGCTCGGCGATTTTGAAACCACACCTGTAAAAATGTTAGTTTTTAGTACTTATCATCATTGAGTTAAGTAGAAGTGGACATCATATCTTATCATCATCATGGACTTTAGCATATTGATAAAGTAGACATGCCATCTCATCATAATTAACTTTTGAATACTAAAGAATACATCACATCTCAGCATCAAAATAGACTTTCTGATACTGAAATAAACACCATCAGAACTGAAATAAACACCAAATAAGCACCACGCATGACACAATCTCCTCTTAATATTTTAAAATTGCATTTACATTCTAAAACAATCATAACATATGAGGTGTTCCATAAGAAACTTTATAAATGACGCCTATTTAACGACATTTTTTAATTTTATTAACCCGCCTCTTTTTCACCAAATAAGTCGTTCAAGATTCTTACGAAGCAGGACGCTCTGAACAATTTCATGACTGTTGAAGTACCTATAAGTTATAGTGAATGACCACTTTTATACTTTTCAACTAGCAATCTACCATAACCTTTAACCCGCGGACAAATTCTCATTCTCGTTGTAGTGAGGATTTCTGAAGGATTAGAAGGATTCTTAGAAATCCGAATGATTTATGATGAGATGTTGTGTTTCCTAGCAGAGCACTTAATCCATCAGAAAGTGTAGTTTCCAAAATGTTTTAAAAAAATTTATCCAAATCTAGTTAATAACCAAAACGGTTATTCACTGGCTGTACCCTAAGTTATATTCCAGTAAATTACCGATTACTGATACGTTTTAAATACTTGTTGTTTTGGATATTAATCTAAAATTGAGTACAGAATCTTTGTACCATAACATTTGTACTAGTATAATTTTATGTTTTTATACGAAACGGTTATTAGCTGAGGGGGTATTCATGGTGTACTTACTCTACGTTCAATGGAAGGTCGGTCTATGATACTGCTCATCTTACGAGTACAACGCCTATTCGTGACTGTTTCTGACAAAAATCTACCAGAATCAAGAATCTTGCCCAAAGACCTTCATGGACGGCAGGAGAAAGTTTCTCCGTCCTCAAGGACGACCGAGTAATAAATTGTTTCCCATACTTTTTGTCCTCACCTGGTTCCGGCACAAAAACTGAGATTCAAAACATTGACCGAACAAATTTGGCGATTTGATTGTATTTTTCGTTTAGAGGACAAATAAACAAATTTATGAAATATTAATTTTTAGTCTTCTTAGTGTTACTTTATTCAATAAAACCCTTATAACCTGTAAACAAAATAAGAGTATGTAAAACCCTACCGGACTTGTAATGTATTTTACTTTGTATAATTGGAAACGTGTAGGCCCTACAACTATGTCATTTTCTTCCATATTGGGTATTTTAGGGTGTTCCCTCTAAAAAATTACAGTACCAAATTATCAAGGTATGTAGGTATTTCGTTGATTTAGTAATGGCAATTTCAACATTTTGACGGAAACGGCACAGGACACACTTAATCTTACAATATATTACTCTTAAAATCAACGCTTGAATTTAGAAGAAGCTCTAGCATTGACATGGTTAAAAACACTTAAATGATCTGTAGTATGTAATAAATTACATGCTAGTTTTTTGAATATTAATTGTTTTAGAATTCCAAACAGATTTAATCTCGAGGATTTAACTGTTTTTCGTCTAAAATCGTAAACAAAATTTTAAATTCAAAACACTTATCATGGTTTATAGTCGTAGAATAAAATACTTAAAGTAAATTTATTTATTTATATGTTTTCATTTCATTTCAAAAATAACCTTTTCCAAAATCACTTAATTAACCAGATATCCGCCATTTTGCATTTATTACATAAACATTTTTATCTTTGGATTTTTTAAACCGATCTTTATGAAAGTTGGTATCTATGTTAAAATAGAAAAGTTACATATACAAAAAAAAATCTTGATTCACCTTAACGTTTAAAAATGGCGGCTATTTTAATCTTTCAAACTTTAATTACAAAACGTGACTGGTTTATGAAAAAAATGTCAAGATAACTTTTATTTAGCAGTTTTAATTCCCTATCAAACGATACCAATTTCCAAAACTTCGAATTATAAATAGCTTAAATATCACGATTTTTTGTTGTAAAATGGGGTAGAATAAGGTTTGCCCCATTCCTTAAACCCTCCTTAGAACTTAAAGTCGTAATATTTAAGCTAATTTTTAATTTAATAAAAAAATTAAAATGGACACAATTTTGAAATTTTAAGTTGAATCGAGATGAATTTCTTTTCTAACATGGGTCTCTTCTGCCTTAACTTAAATACCACGTTTCATAAAGATCGGCTAAAAATTTAGAAAAAAGATCAAAATGTTTATGTAAAAATTACAAGATGGTGGATATTTGGTTAACGAAGTGATTTGGGAAAAAAATGTTATTCTTGATTTTCTCTTTATTATGACCGAGAACTCACTACGTAAATTATGTCCCACGTTTTTTGAACACCCTGAATTGACAATGGTACAGTAAATAATTATTAATAACTGATAATACTATTTAAATTATCAGACTTCTTTCCAGTCAATTATTATATTTGAAACGTAATTGACTAGTTACAAATCAAAGAAAGTATAAAATAAGAACAAAACAAACAGAACTACAGGTGGCACTGGAGAGAAGAAGAATCTAGAAGAAACATCATGATTCAGTCAGTTTTATTTAGTCAGTGACAGTGACATTACAAGTTTTAAGTATTGTGATTGTGACAGTTTTTTAAAGAATCTGTTGACATACCGTACCACAATAGTTAAATACATTGATGATGTGTTTGCATGCAAAATGACCTAATGAAGTTCTAAGGAACGAAACTAGTAGTCATTCAGTTAACTGTGGATGGATAAGGTAAACATTTTATTTTTCACTACTAATTAATTTTGTTTTTTACACTTGTATCAAAACGTTTCAAATTCAAAATCTTTTTCTTACCAGTTACTGGCAGGTGGCTGAAAATGACGTAATCTTTCGTTATTGACGATGGTAAATAATTAATTATCAATAATTTATAATGAATGTGATTTAAATTCATTTGTTTACATTTCTCCAAAAATGTGTATTGAAATTGTGGCTGTACGAATACTTATAGGGTCCTTGTCTGCAAATTACACAATGAGTCGTTAGACTAAAGTTTAAATAGAAAAAAAAATGTTAGGGGATTAACGTTAATTCTCAACTCAAAATATACCTAAAATATAAAGGTCTCAGTGTAAAATTTCATTGAAATTTAATTGGAACCATTGACGTCATAATCACTGACCTAATTATGTTTAATTGATGCACTAATGCACAGGCTGGTCATACTTAATTGGATTAAACTAATTATATACATTAAAACGGAAACATTTTGAAATTTTACGATAAGGGGGCTATTTGGTATCTGGTATAAGATTAGTAATATAAATCTGACGAAAAACCTAACCGTATAAAGAGTTATATTATTATATACATTTTAAATCCCTTCTAGACAACGTATTGCCTTTGAAAATACTCTTCTACCGTATATTTTAAAACACTTACTCTGAAATATACATATCAAGAGGGTTATGGTTGAACTATATTTTAAGAGTGGTACAAGGTTTAAGCCCCAGGCAAGCAGCATATCAAGCGGTTTGTTGGGAAACCTTCTTTATGGCAAAGGGGGAATTATCGAAGAGTTTATTAGGTTCAAAATGTAGTTACTAACCTGCACATGTTGACTCTGTTTATATGTATGGATATTTATTTGTAACATCAGTTATGCTATGTGATATATAATGAATTATCATTCTTGCGATTATCATTTGAGGCCGTATCTTTGTACGTATTTAAATCTAAATGAGTGAAAGATGAGTGTGGAATGGATGGTGTGACGCATGTGTTTTGTTACTGACTAAGATCAGCTGTTTCATTAGCAATCTATAAAAGCCATCAAGGACAGCTGAATCCAGTTCTGAACCATCAAAAAGCTACACCTTTTCTCAGGAGTTAAATACAACAGAAATATGTGTTCCGTGCCTAGTTTTAACAATACAGTAATTTGTAATTCGGGGCACTTAAAAGATCTTCAATATTTTGATCTAAAATTTCCTAAAATCAAAAAAATAATTAAGTAAGTTAAAAGATTAATAATGTGTGGCTACAGCCTTCCGAAGGTCACAGGTTTGGTTCCAAGCGTCAACTAATTCTGGGCTCAGATTCTGTTTATTTGTTATTGGGCTATTAATAATGCTATATAATAAAAGGGCGACTTTTGTTGTAAAAAAAAGTGTTTTTTGTTGTAAAATGTTTATAGTGTAGTAAGTAATGAATGGGTTTGTCAAATTTGATCAAAATATATCCGTAAACAAACTACAACAGTTTAATTGAATTGATTGTGGATGAGTAGGTTTATCCACCTAATAGTCTTAAACAAACATAATCTTTGTAAAGTACAAAAATTTTGCATAGTTTTGCATTGGAATTAAGTTTTACCACTGTGCAGTTTGCGCATGTGTCCTCTCGTATATGGAAGTTTTTAAAAATAAAGAAATAATAATCTCAGTGACAAAACACCAACTACCACTATAATATTCATAGCTTAAAAGCCGTAGTACGAGGGGGTGGGTGTTAATGTGTCTGTATAATTCAGTGGAGCGCCTCGCCTATACGGGGGGGGGGGGTGGAGGGGGAATGGATAACCAGTGTTGATCCTGTCCCAGGAGGAGTCATAACTCAGCCATCCATTATACACCGTCTGTCTGATATATAAACAACTGCTCATCGCGCCAGTTCTGCGAGATCTGGCAACGTTGCGTCCAAGGCCGACCTTAACTTATAGTGTGCTCAGTGGCACTTTGCAGCACATGAGAGATATGTGTACGCAAGAGCCGCAGGTGAGTGTGGAAAGTTTCTTGAGTGCAGCAAAGGCACAGCACTCGTGTTACACATAATTACTTATATGTTGTTGATTTTGATTATTTCTACAGTCATCTGACAAAGTGCTTCCTTGCACTGATTATAGTACAGAAAGTTGCTAATTTCTGCATTTACT